ACTAGTTTTACACACTGTAGGTAAAAGTACTCTCCCATTTTTTCAGAGTTAATCTCACCTCCATGTTTCCATCTGCTCATGGTTTTTCCAGCACAGATTAAGCCTCTTTTTACAGAAAGGACATGAACATCACAAAATTATTTTGTACAATGAAATTGAACAATATCGGTGTAGAAACTATAGTCACTTGTTAGATTAGCTCAACATGAATTAAACATTTTGAATAACTCCTGACGAGATGCTCAATAAGAGTCTTTCTGAATTGAAATATTCAATATTACCAACAGTTCCTCAGCGATGCCTACAGCTTGAAATGTTGAGCTGCAAATATTTATTATACATTTTAGTCTGTGTTCTACCCGTAGACTGTATAAAAAGATGGACTTAAATACAACTTCCTCAAAGTGAAGTCAAAAGGTTAGGAGCTCCTCCTACTGACTGGCTACATGTTAGTCATAAACCCCGCCCCCCTTCAAGTCAACATATCTGACATGGGTGACATGTAACTAAAATACACCTCAAATATATTTTTCTCAAAACAGGAATCTCTCAGGATGTCAAGTTATTATTACGAAGATTTATGAAGAAGTGTTGTTTGTCAGAACATTTGTTTTTTATTACCTATTTGATGCAAAAGTGAGTGGATGTGACTGTACTAATAAATGCAGCCCCTGCAGTGTTCTTTACCGGATTAGCAGCAGTAGATAAGGCACATCAAGAGAAATTGCAAACAAACTAAACATGGTGGTCATTAGACTTCCGATAAGCTTGAGTGCCTACTTCAAATCAACAAAAAAAAAAAAGATTCCGCAGCTTCACCAGTCAGATCTCTACTACTGCGTTGTGTTGGCTTTAACTGACGTCAATAGTGCTATACAGGTGTATCAGCACCTGTTGTAGGATTATTTCGGCTTCAGTTTTGGAAATGGAGACGTAGCATCCATTTTTAGATACAGTAAGTGGTACTGGTTCACCAACCCACCTGCTTGTTTCTCTTAAGAGGCTCCACATGCCTCCTCAAGACCAGTTGCACACTACTTATCTCTTGTCTTGCCATGCTTAACTTCTACAATGGCACAGGCTACAAAAACTGAGAAACCTTATCTACTGTGTTCTCCACGTACATAAATAGGTCCAATGCTCAGGAAAGAGCTGCCGTAAAGTGAATATAAATTGGGTTTGTTTTTTTCATCTTTCTTGCTATATTTGCTTCTTAACTTGTTAAATTTGACTTTTATTATGAGTCGATTATGAACATCATCTTTTATGTGGATGACACAGTGTTGTTCTTTCATGCCACACAGAGACAGGTTATCAATTGAAAGTTCTGTACGTGGTTTAGCAGTAGAGGTGTTGTTTGTTGTGTGATGTTTTGTAATAGGCTCAAACCCTGACAGGATGCGTCAACAGAACCATATGCAGACTCTTGTCGCCAGTTGGAGGTTTCTCTGCAGGTTGCCAGCTGCAGGTGACAGCACAAATTGTGACTCAAGCTGCTCTCTTTTTTTTTTTTCCTTCTCACCGTATCTGTCACTCCACAGCACCATGCACCATACGGGGTCCAGGATGACAGGCGGCCAGATACTTCAGCTGCATTACATCAGCAACAGTCTATTTGTGTGAATCAGAGAAAGAGGAGAACAGGTGTTAGGCAATTAACCAAGCCAATCTTTTAGAATTAGCAAGATTACACTGGCACCTAAATGCAACACAGATAGGGGGCTAATATCTCCAAATCAGCAACCCAAGTTGAATGTAATAGTCATTTTAAAGCACAGCTGTTTACTGAAACTAAACGAAACACTCTAATGTTGATGAAGTTTTAGAGTGATATACTCCTTTACAGACTGTCATCCACCTGAAGAGTGTTTGGGTGAAGTGTGAAACTTCCCCTGGTTTGTGTCATTCCACCTTATGCCTCTGGCTATGTGTGTTTATCATTGTTGTGTTTTGGACATCAAGCCTCTGGAGACAAAGTGAGAATTAAGCTGCTCAGTAAATGCACCCCTCCACCGTCCTGTTACATCTGTTACACATACAGATATGGAACTGAGCCTTCTGTCCATACTCTGCGTTCATTTCGTCCGTATTTCTGCACTTTTTCCGGAAGCTTACAGGTATTATCCAAGCGACTGGAAATCACGGGTCAGTTTGTAGCCAACAATTAAAGCCATACCAGCAAAACACAGCAAAGAAGCTTATTTTGGAAAATGGCTGAACTTTTTGAGGAAAGATTGTGTGAGTTGGTTAATGTTGCCAGATGTACCATATCATATTGGTACGATCATTTTGCCTTCTGTACGTTCAATAATTGCAGAGAAGGCAAAATGTATGTCCCCACAATATCCACAACCAAACATTGTTTGTGGTTTCAGAGCAACAAATCACATCAGCATGACTGAGGAGGCCATCACTTCAGCACCATTCAGCACCTGACCGATACACACCCTCAGCTCTGCTGCCAGGCTCTACCTGCCAATCAAATCGTGACCTCATGTCCTGCTCACACCCGCAGGACAACGCTCATCATCTTGAGATGCATCTAACTTACTGTAGCTGCCAAAATGTTTCAGTGGCAGGCGGCGGAGCAGTCTGCAAACTATTAACACTTGAATAGTTTGTGGCTTTGTTTGTTAATTTCTTCATTAAGTGAGGGATTTCATTCAGTTAATGTTCAGTGCAGCTAAACATTAGTCAGAATTATGGAAGATCAGCCAGCCAAGAATGTAAAGAGCCTGGCAGCAAGGCCTCGTATATTTTCAGTACGGCAGCACTGGGAATTTTAAACATATTCATGACGTTATCACACATGCACCGGGAAAGAAAACACAACAGCTGGGTGGAGATTGGATAAAAATGAAAGTCAGTTGGATGACAACGAAGGAGAAGTAGAGGTTCATGTGAGATCACAGCCTCTAAAACATTTGACAGGAGATAGGGCAGCTGTTTTCCACTTTATCAAGTCTCGAGCTTGATTAAGTTAGCTACATCCTAGCATTGGATTTAATGAGCACGGTTAATTATTTCATCCAACTCATGGCATTTCAAACGGCTTCAATGAAAGTAGATAGATGAGGATCTTAATTTTGTTATATATTTATGATACAACATGATGAAGCAGCTAAACACATTTCAGATTAGACAGTTCTGCCTTCACAACACAAAACAAGATTATGCATTCATTTTCTGTGCATTAAATTTACACTTTTTTTCCACTTTCTTTTTTTTTTTTCGACCCAATTAAATTAAAAAACATTACAATTGAAACCATGAAAAGGCCAGCTTTGATATTTGCTGTAACATTAGTAAGGATGTGCAAAAATGCCCACCACACAGGTAATTTAAGAAGAAAATAAAAGACTCATCCTTATTATGCCTCGGCCAAGCATAACGGGGGGAAATGGAAACAGGAATTTAATAGGTGTAATTTGTCTCCAGTTATTTAATGGCTTAGTTGTTGATATTTTATGTCGAGAACGGCTTCCCACAGCTTTCATTATATCAGATTATTGAGAATAATTGTATCAGTAATTTCACACCTGTTCTCTCATTGCAGTAATGGCCACATAATGTGCAAAACACACAGGACCCCCTCTGCTTGTGAGAGTATGGAATATAAAGTGTGAAACTTGAGATGAGTTTCTTCTGATATTCCTTTTGCTTCAGTGCACTCAAAACAAGATCTACTAAATATGTACTTTACTAAACTGTGACAGCATCAGCTTTATTAAACAACTAGGGGTGTATTCAACCTTTTAGTTGTGAAGTTAATACCCATTATTTGATGTCAACATGTCACTCTTTAATTAAAAAACTACAATTTCCTTGTTGTGTTGGTCGTATAAAATGACGACATCGTGCTGGTGCTGTTTCAGGAGCGGGTTAAGGAGGCAGAGTGGCTTTCAGCAGCCGGCTGCAGCACTGCATGGTGCCTGATGTGTAGTGACATGATGTGAGCTGACAGGTGGCACCATGGGTAACAGGGCTAAAACTCCCCATCAGGCAGCCTGCTGAGGTCCGGTCTTACCTCTCTGACCAACTTTAAGTGCTCCTCTTCTCAGCCACCACCTCAAAGCTGCTGGATGGTCACAGTTATGATACTGCTTTGAGGTTTGGTTGAGCCAAATGGCCAAGGGCTGTTTGCGCACAGTAGGTATCTTATTTTGAAAGGATTAAGAGTAGCCAACAAGACAGGTGCTGCATCTTGCTGATTTTGGACATAAATTACAAAAAGTTTCTTAGCTTTTGGAGTAAAACTTTTGAAGTAAAATTAAAACATTTTTGGAGCTTCTTTAGAATATCGGACGTTACAAATCCGTCACAAAAACCAGAAATAATTCTTGCATTGTTTTCTTTATTTTTTCCCATCAAAAGAAATGCACGGATCAGCAAAGCTACTACATACAAATGGCCATACAATAGCAATTTAATTTGTCTTTTTGTTGGAAGGTTTTCAGTCAAGTCTGCGGTATCATTTTTACACTTGGTACCTTGAACAGTTGCAATTATGCTGCATTCAGCTGAAATATCAATCAAATCAAACCAATGCTGTTCTTCCATATTCAAATAAAAAAGTTCTGCCACAAACTACGTATCTGGACAGCTACTTGTTACTGCTCCAGGAAATTGACTGTACTTACCTACAATAAAGAAAAAACTAAAGTTTTGCATAGCTCCATTGTAATGTAGATACAGTTCTGTAAGGCACTTCATGGACCAATTTAGGCATTATTTTTTTAAATCCTACATAATAAACCTTTCTGTCACTTCACTGTAAATCATCTTAGTATTTTTAGGTTACAACATCTGAAAAAACAACAACGTCTCATCATATTTTTGCGCACTATGTAAATCTGCTGTACTCCTCCTCGTTCTTTTGGCATTAAGTCTCGAGTTAAACATTCTCAAAATATTGAAGTTGGGTTCTTGTGCATAATATGACGGACACATTGTCCCATAACCCCACACAACCCAGTGTTTCAAAAAAGACCAAAAAAAAAAAGTTGTGCAATGATTTGGGGTTATGTGGAGTAGAAGGCAACGCGCTGTCAAAAAACGAGTCCCAAAACTTAAAAGAAACAAAATGTCCAGGTATTGGTCGTTTTTTTCATAGACTGGCACTGTATCCACATAAAAAAAGAACTTTCTCTTTTTTTTTTCTTTTTTTTTTCTTATAAAAAAGTAGTTTCGTCCTTCCTTAGGCCAGTCCAAAACAATTTGAACAGATGACTCTTTTGGTGTTGCAGTCCAGCAGCTTTGTGTAGGACTAAATGTAAATGTTGTCGTGTTCCATCCGTCTCCTCAGTATGGATAAAGGTGAAGCATCTGCTCTATCCAAGCTGGTCTTCATACTGTTTGCGGAAGCAGTCACCAGCTGGGAAGAAATCCCAACAGCGCTCCTGGTACATCTTCCACACATATGACTCCTGGAGATAGATACATGTCAGATCAGTCAGTTGCTCTACAGATGGTTCTGGTTCTGTGGTAATGCTGGTCGAGTCATATTCTTATTCTCAGTAAAATGACACACTTCCCTTTAAATTATTCTGTCCCAGCAGAGACGCACAATATCTCTGACAATGACAGGATTAGAATTGTTTTGGTTGTTTTTGATTCCTCAGAGAAAGGATACTAATGTAGAGTTATGTATGCTGTACCTGGCCGGTGTGCTCTGTCTCATCTTTGTTGATAAGGTACATCAGGAAAAACCTTTAGAAAAAAAAGGCGAGTGAGTCAAAAACAAAAATGTCAGACGGAAAGCTATGACAAGCTTTTGCTTTGTCCTACCTGAAAATCTCACAACTCTCAACAGTGTTGACAGAAAAAAGGCTTGGCTGAGTCACATTCAACTTTTTCAACACTTTATAAACGGGAAATGTCACATTTCGGGGGTTGCTAGGAATCAGCTTCTGATGCAAACAAAGTAACACCACCCCATCTCTGTCACAAAATCACCTGATGTTCCCCAAATCAAGTTTAAATGGCAATGGGCCGCTGTATCTCTGTGGGCATCGCAGCATGCCAAATGGTGATGAATACTGTATGAGAGCACGCTATCAAAACCTATTTTCCAATAAAGTTCAAGGCATTAAATAGTAATGAAGCAACATAATGAGGTCGCTCTCATATCCTCCGGCCAGCTGACTGTGAGCGCAAATGGACTGAGACTTGCTATTGTCCCGGGCTCTATGGAGAAACAGCGGACGAGCGGAGAGTGCAGGGAAACACAGAGACAGATGGGAAGAATACCTGAAGGGAGCTAGTGTTCTGGATCACTGCGGCAATTAGCGACTTTGGCCCTGATGCTGCAGTAATGTGCTACATCTATCAATCATGTGGTTAAATTACAGAGCAGAGGCAACACATGGGGGTGACAATAACAAGAAGACATTTGCATTTTAAGATGATTAAAAAAAAAAGAAAAACACTTGATACTTACAGGTAGTTTGCCAAATTGTGCTCTTGTAAGGTGTGAGTCTCAAAGCCGTGAGGTGTTGTGTCAAAGTAGTCATTGCCAATCCCACATATGAAACATTTGGTCTGCGGACAGAAAATGGAATCATAAGTAGACAACATGCTCTCTCTGTCTTCATCGTTCTTCATACTATCCTCGTATACATGTAAACGGTTTGATGTCGCCTGAGCTCTCTGACAAATGAAACCTCATGATATCTGGTTGAGTTTAAATCAGGACATAAGTAACTCCCCATATTTCTCCCAGCATTTTCTTCTCATTCTCTGGGAGTCCCAGTTTCCCAAATTCTGAAGTGTTTTTACCAAAGTTGGATTTATCATATTTTGAACTAAATATTTCTATTACAAACTGACCTAGCGTGTGTGCACTAACCTTTTTTTTTTTGGCCTGACTGATGCTTTCAAGACTGAACAGAGATGGAGCGCTCCAAAAAACAAAAGTAGGCCACATGCCTTCACTCACTCAAGATGTCCTGAGGCAACCTTTTCTAACAGGAATATTCAAGCTGAGGAGTTCACTTTCTGTAAAATATTCAAGACTGCCTAGAATAATATGGAAATGCAAGACATATTTATGTATTTCTTTTCTCTGAGTGATGATTTGTTCCCACTCATGACCCTTCACTGCCCTACAGGTCCGACAGTATAAACTAGAATTGTATCCGCACTCACCTCCATGTCCTCTTTGACTTGTTCCTGCTGGTCTCTCAGCTCGCCAAAAGCATCGATGATCAAACCTGTAGCCACAAAGGAATTTCTCTGATCACTACATGTGTACTGTGCAGTCAAAAGACTCGTTAGAAACCTCTGTGTCTTTGAATCTGTGACGTGTGAGTTCATCTGGAGTTTTACCCTGGATGATGGCCAGGAGGATGACGATGACGAAGAAGAAGAAGGTGATGTCAAACAGGATGCGGTACAGCTCATAGGGGTCACCGGCTGGGTCCTCGATCTCATCCCCAATTCCCCCGCCTGCCCTCACCCCGACGTACATGTGGAAGAGGTAACACTGCGAAACACACAGTGGAGGGGGGGAGGGGAGGTGATTACATGAACATTAAAAGTCAGAGTACTGGTGTGTTTGGAAATACAGGCAAGTAACACTCACAGTCATCATGTCGTCACACTTCATATCGGGCTCGTCCTCGTCCCCGCTCTTGTTGTAGAACTTCCTGAAGAAGTTGAAGGCCACCACAGTGTAGAGGTAGACCACAACCGCCAGCAGGCCCACTGTCAACACCAGCTGCAGAGACACAGACAGCAGTCAGAAGGGTGTCTTTACAAACTTCCCATCTGTTTACGCTTTTGGGGAATCAAACAGAAGACACAGCAAGGACAAAGCTGCAAGTTGTGTTTGGTTTTGTACACACACAAAAACTATCAAAGCACAATAAACATAAAGGAAGATAATAAATGGAGAGAATGTCAGCGTAGTTACCAGTTTACAGTTGATTAACTATGTGAACATGAACAGCGACATTGCATTTAGACCGCTGCGTGATTGATCCGCCTGCAGGCAGCCGAGTGTGGCAGGTGTCACCGATTCCTTGCGGCCATGCCATTTAGGTACACTTCCACCCATGGAGATCAATGTGACATTCAATTTTCATTTGTGCCTCTGGTCAGCTGCCATGAGAGATCTGACAGTCAGAGTTGGGATTTAAATGAGGCAGCTGAACCGTCTGACCTCAGTGGAAAAATGTCAAATGATACTGGGTGCATCTTAATTCCGATTCATGCATCCTCACTTCCTCCTTGTCAAACTTCTCTGTCTCTCTAGTTGTTACAGTTTCAGGCAGAGAGATGCAAATGTTGAGTTTTAAGCATACAGGGCGTTTCTGACATCTAACGCGATGATCTTGCTTAACTAAGAATCATTTTAAAATTCACGATCAATGACAGCATGGTTTAAGCAATCAATCATTATTTGTAAAGCGCCAATTCATGACAAGTAATATCTCGAGACGCTTTACAAAAGAGCATATGGGATAATATGCAGGAAGGATTTCTCCTTTGTATTCGCGTTCCTGTTGTCCACACTTCCTTGCCGTTGAGGTGGAGGTCGGGGCAGGCTGTGCATGAATGAGGACGGCGGTGGCTGTGGGGACGACACAGTCCGATGGTGGTGGTAACTGTAAGAAAGAAGGCTGTACTGCTTTGTGGTCTCTCTGTAATATGCATAAAGCAGCCTGCAGCCTACATACTTCTGTTCAGTTTTTAGTTTCTGTCAACATGTAAATTATTTGTACAAACTTTTTGCCACCATCTTTGGCAGATTTCATGATAGGCTCCACACGAATAAAAACCCAGGATGCCATCAGTGGAACAGGAAAATGGAAAATGTGATAAAACTGGCTTGTGGTGTCACAACAGGGAGTAAACAGGATTTATGAATAACCCAACCCCTGACTCTGCAGTGACCCCTGCTGCCTGAAAGAGAGACTGCACCCTCATCAACTTCTCACCTGTTTGCCGTTATGTGTGACAGAGGAGAGGATGGTCCGGAGGGTCTTGAAGCCCATGGCGATATCCAGCAGATGAGCAGCGAAGAAGAAGTTGTTGTAGTGGCCCAGAATAGACATGGTGGTGTACCACACCAGGTACAGGAATGACTGTGAAGGGAACAAAGGAATGTGTCTGTCATAGTCACAATATCATCAATCAACCCCTTCACGCATCAATCCATACATCAGGTCATTCACTGAGCCGACAGCGCTATTAATCATCCTGACCTGTACTCAAACTCACATTGTCTGTAAACACCACTCCCAGTTTCCACACATGGTACTTTGTATCGATTGAGCTCAACCTGGAAAAAAAAAAGAGAGAGAGAAAAGTTGATTTTTTCTGTTTGACCTCTTTTTTTTTCCCTCTGTGAGGCGTTCAGCCTGCCCGCTCTCTCACCATGACACCAGTGAAGCCTCCTTGGCCACAGTTTCCTCTGTAGGGTTGAAATCCAGGGCACTTTTATCCAACCCAAGCAGCTCTGCTATCCTCTCTGCTCCATACAGGTCCCCATACTTTTTAATCACCTACAGATTACAGCAATGCAGAAACAGAGGAGACATATAGGTTACGGCGATAGATTGGGTTGTTTAAACAAACAGTAGTAGCGTAACAGATGAACACATGAATGAGCTAAGCCACTTACTTTGCGTTTTACAAATTTATCCCAGTAGTTGTTTGGGAAGGAACTGGGGGAAAAGGAAAAAAAAAGAATTAGAAATTAGCAATAAATCTTCATTTGTACAAGATTTTGGCTTTAAAAAACTGTAGTGTAGCTGACTCACGGAGTATTGATGACCAGTCTGTCCCCACTGTCCTTTGATATCATCGTCCGACGGCTGCTCTGTGATGTAAAGGCCGGCAAACTCCAACTTCCTGGCTATCTCCTTCTCACGTTTGAACACCACCAGCGGCACCTTGGAGACAGAAGAGAATTCAGCTTGAGCGCTAACAAATAACACAGTGGTAACGTATACAGGAAGTGTATGACTGTGGCTGTATACAAAGTATTTTTTCTCATTTGTGGATGTTTGACATATGAATGAAGTTAATTTTGGCTATTACTATAACATTTTCAATTAAAGGCCAAAAGTGTGTCATTTTAAAGGCAGCGTATGTGATTCTTTGTTCCAGCAGATGTCGCCCTTGAGCACCAGCATGAACCCAAAACAACTTGCGGTGAATTGTTGTGTTAGCATGCTAATGCTAGCGATCTTTATTATGCTCGTATCTTCACACTGCATGTAAATTTACCCGAAATGACCGTGATCTAGAAACACAGTTAAGCAGTGAGTAGAGTATGTTGTTCTTCTTTTCTCTAGTCCCTCAATTAAGCAACTTTTATACGCTGGGGGATGAGCTGGCCGGCCATCCTGGCGATGTAAACAAAGTAAAGATAGGACTCGGAAAGCTCAGAAAGCATCACAGACAGTGGGACTCGGGTGTTACACCCATTGTAGACAGTCATGACTCACAGAGTTATTTTCAGAGGATATACTTGATTTCTGCTACATTTAAGTGTGAAAAATCGCATATTCTGCCTTTAAGAAAAATCATTGTGTTTTTTGTTAGTTGCTAAGATACCATATGATACACTTTATTGTCCCCTTGGGGACATTTGTCTTGGACTCACAGTGCTGCCAAACATTCAGCAGTTTCAAAACAAACAAAACAGGCAGAAAGCAGCAGCACGGGAGTCCTTTCCTTACCTTAAGGTAGTAGTATCCCACTACACACAGGAAAGATATGATTGTGTGCAGAATAGCCAGGCAGCGAAGTGTTGGGGCCATGTAGCCTGTGCTCTCCTGCAGCACAAAATACTCCAGTGCACCCTCATCTTCCTCTTCCCCAGTTTTACCACGACCGTTCCAAGGGTCTTCATCGTCGGAGTAATCTCCTGTCACCTGAAAGGCAATTGAATATTTAAGGGTAACTCACAATTACTGTATGTTCAATCTTCATATATTACAATGTTTTCACTTCAAGCTTACTTTGTAGAAGAGCAGAATGAAATTGATAGCAAAAGCAACAAAGAGAGCCAGGAAGCGGAGGTTGTAGAAGTTTCTGGCCAGGTAATTCTGTGGGGGGAAAAAATGTTTAAAGGTGAGTATACACAACCACCTGTTTTATACTCTCTAAACATGCTCAAGATGATGGTTTAAATTTCTAAGAAAGCTGTGAGGGAAATATCTGACCAGCATCTTAGTCTGATAGATCTCCAAGCCAGCTAAGAAGCTGGCCGTGAAGGCTTCTGGGGGTTCTTTCTTCATGCCCAGCCTCTTCTTCGGCGCCTTTTTCGCCTCCAACGAGGACTGGGAAGGGACTTCATCTTTGGCTTTATCGTGGTCCTTCTTCTCACCGTCCTCTGAACTGTAACAATCATTGGTAACAAAATATACTCACTGCTGCACAATTACATATTCAAATACAATATCTATTTGACCAATGGAGTGAACAAAACCACAGAAAAAGATCAAATCTTTGCCTCACAAAATCTTTAACTGAGGACAATTTCGACAGTAGCTTAGGACAACTCTCCCTAAGAATGGTTTGCGGCTGTGAATAGCTCCAAAAATTGCTCCCACTATCTGCTCCATCTCAACTTCTAATTCACAATGCCTGTAGTACAAATGATATTCAAGAGTTTGAGCAGTTGTCTCTTGTTTAACGTCTGAATGTGGAGAAAAAGCTGCTCTGTGTGAGTCTGCACTCTCATGCTGACAGAGCATATTTTTGTGGGAACAGTAATAGAAGTTTTACTGTTTAAAACAAAGCTTCATCTCTGAATGGAACTAATAAGAGCAAACTCGAACACAACGCGCACACAAAAAAACGTGCATCTTGACAAAGAACCTGACATCTCTCATACTGTGACCCAGTTATCACCTGGACCCAACATACAGTTTTTGCTCCACTCTAACTGTGTGTGGCTATTAGCACCAGTGTTTGTGAATTGGACGCTTTTTTTGCAATAAGAATCACCGGTTCAAGTCCCCGTACGGACCAAGTGTGTAATTTGGGACTGGTTGCTGGAGAGGTGCCAGTTTTCCTACTTAGTGCGGAGTAGGGCTGCGTGCTAATGGCAAAAATCATAATCACAATTATTTTAATGGATATTGAGATCATGATTATTAAACATGTGGAATAAGTGAAAATAATATAAATATTTTATAATATATCATGATAATCAATAAGTACAAATAAATGAACTATGTTTTTTATAGATAGTGTTAATGTACTTTTGTGGCCAAAATATAACAACAAACACTTTGAAACATTTACTAAGCACAACAAAACCTGTGGGCAAATTATCGTTTAATCTGTGGCTCAATGGTAGAGTCGGTCATCTCTTAACCAGAAGAGCTGTCTTGGACAGATCCCTCTTGTTAAAGAGATTTTTAATCTCAATGAGACTTTTCCTGGTTAAATAAAGGTTAGATAAAAAAATAAAAAAGAAGGTCATAGGTTCGATCCCCCAGCTCCAGTAAGTGTCCATGGGCAAGACACTGAACCCCAAAATGCTTCCACTGCTGAGTCAGCGTAGTATGTGTATGTATGAATGGGATTAGTTAATACTGTTGAACACTTTACACAGCAGCCTCTACCATCAGTGTGTGAATGGGTAGGTGTGACCTGCGTTGTAAAAGTGCTTTGAGTAGTCAGAAGACTGGAAAAGGTCTATACAAGCTCAAGTACATTTACAATTTAATCTCCATGATCTTGTTGTCATGATAGTGGGAAGCCAAAAGTGTAATTGAAATAGAACTTGTTTTATTGCCCAGCATGGTGACAGTCCCTGTGCTGCCCCCTCACTCTGACATCTCTCTATTGTTGCATATCTTTAAGTCCTGTTTGTATTAGAGTATATTTCAGGTCTGTGTGTGTGTGTGTGTGTGTGTGTGTGTGTGTGTGTGTGTGTGTGTATGCGTGTGCGTGTCTCACAACAACAAAGTAAAAAGTTCAATTTCAATCAGGATTTTAAAAAAGCTAAATAAAAAAATGTAAATAACAGTTACATTTGGAAGGACAATAATTTAATAGAAACACTCACTCTCCCTTCTCAGAGTCAGATTTGTAGTCTCCAGGTGATGCACTCTTTTTTGCAGCAATCTAAAATAAAAAATAAAATCTTTGATTAGTTATTTGAACACTTTATGTCTTGTAATGTAAAAACATGTGTTTCAGTCATTGAGAATACTAATGTGTCCTCAATCTCTATTAGCTTAGACATGCTAGGAAATAGGAGTTGCTATAAACATTGACCTGTGCCTTCTTCTGTTTCACGGCACTTGCAATGGACGGAGCGTCCCCCACCACCACCTCAGACACATCCCCCAAACCTGGCTCCGCCCCATGCTTCCCCTCTTTCTTGGGCTGTATGTTCAGCAGCTCAGCCATCAGGTCCCCCTCTGCTGCATCCCCCTGAGCCATCTGACCCATCTCTGCCAAAGCTGACCCCTCGTTCGCCTCCATCTTCTCCATCTCTAACACATCCCCATGGATCCCAAACTGGGTGGGGTCTGGCATGTTCCCTAAAATGTCTGTCACCTTTATGTTTTTAGCCCCTTCAACAAGGCCGCCTCCGAACATGGTGGTCCACAAGATATGGAAGAAACCCCAAACAAGGCTATAGACAAAGTGGAAGAGGCCTGTGATGATCATCCAGAAGAAAGAGAAGAAGCCTCGCACCAGCTCCCGAACACTCATCTTTCTGAATTTCCTGTACTGCCGCCTCATGCTCTTCAGAGTCAGCATCTGGCGGAAGTGGCTGAGGCTTTTTCTCATTGAGATGCAGGCGATCGTAAAGGCCGAGGAGGACTCCAACATCACGATCTCCTCCTCTTCCTCTTCCTGGTTTAAAGCTACACTCTGGTTGTCGTCCTCATCTTCCTCTGGACGCTCCACTGGGTCCGGCTCTGAAATCTGCGAGGCGAGCTGCATCTCGAAGATGGTGTCCTCACAGAAGTTGACAAACAGTTCCATCTTCTCGCTCTCCCCGCCTTCATTGACCACGTCAAAGATGAACTGCCGCTTTGACTCCTTCACTTGAGGCTTCTCCCACTGGGTACGACTGGACTCGCTGATCTCGAAGTAGACTCTCTCTATGCGCTTGGCTCCGCCCATGATCTCGATGCGACCCAAAAAAGGCTCAAAGTAGCTGAGGACGCTCTCGGCCAGGTCGAGAAACGTTGAGAGGCGAGCATCATGAGGCATGTGCTCAGAGAGATTGGTCAGCAGCACAGCTACATTAAAGCCGATGTCTTTGGCGGGCTCGTGAAATCTCTCCACAAACTGCTCGTAGTTAAACATGTCGTTCTCATCGGCCTCCGCACAGGAAAGAAGAAACTCGATCTCAGACTGCGAGTACTGCTTCTGGTTCTCCATGGACTTTTGGAAATCTTTCTTAGAGATGACCCCTTTGCTCTCCGGGTCATATTCCCTAAAGCTGTCAGAGGTCGTCAGGTCCTTCAACTTGAGGAACATGTCGAAGAATTTCAGGATCATCTCCACGTTGCTGGAAGATTCCACTAGGGTGTCCACCATTTGTTTGCCAATGGTACCATTGACAACATTACCTGCAATGTCAAAAAGGTCAGGGTAAGGTTCATACTCACAATAAGAAACTCTTAACAACATTCAAGTCAGCAAATCTGTGTGAAAAAAAGTGTTTAATGAAAGAGCATTATGTAGATGTTCAAAAAGTAAACCTTCAAGTAGAGAGAGCATCATGACGATCATGTCCTTCTGCAGGTCCAGCAGCTCCTTCAATAACTCAATCTGACTGGAGTCCTGTTAGTGGGAAACAAAAAGGGGGAAACCTTGTGACTCACACTTCACTATATCACACAGACTGTTGTTAGCCTCCCTGTAAGGGTACAACAACCCTGTCTAATATCCTTGTGGGATCAAGGCTGCCTCACTTTGCTGGGACCCACAATGGTCCTGCTGAGGCCCAGAAGGGCCGTCTAGATAACATCCATCCATCAGTACCAGGGTTAATGCTATTCTTCTGTCTGGGAGCAGATGGCAGGGTCAGTCTGACTCATTTAAGGTCTCTATGGAATCTGTATTCGGCATGCAATAAATCTGAGGCCAACTTTGATGTGCTACATTCAAAGCCCTCCACCTGTGCTTTCTTCATCCCTCTACTGTCAGAGTCAGCTCTTTCTGATGACCTTGAGATAAGGTTAGGTGGTTGGATTTTATCCATATACTGGCATCTTGGGGAAAGAGAAAAATATCACAGATTGAGCCATGCATCATGTAGCTGGGTGGAATGGCAAATGTAATTGTACTGCAGCAGCCTGAGGATATCCTTGAGCCTGGAGAGACCTCTAGTGGCCAAACTTATATTAAAGGAGCAGCTGGCTGACAGAGACAGAGGACTAAGAAGAGTCACATGCAGTAAGTGATTTAAAAGCATCACTACTTTTAAAATGACGGCAGACACAATTCAAATTGGAGTATTGCATTTTTCCTATGTCACCTAATCTTCACGTAGTGCGGCCTTTGACATGTATTGTAATTTATTGGATAATGAAAGATGTTTTGATGTGTCAGCAACAGACATATGGGAGCTGCTACAGATGAAACACCTTGCTGTAAGGCATCACCAACAATACATTCCCCTGATTTAATCAAATTGGCATCTCTGCAGTTAAACCTCACTCTGTCCTTGTTGTATACCGCTCTCTAACTTTAATGTAAAACTGTCTGCACGAATGCCAGATGGTCATTTTTCAGAAATCATATTTTGTAGTTCATCTCAAAGGGGCAAATTTAAACAACTTACCTAAATATTTTATACTGTATAATACTGATAAGAAGATCATGTGTTTTATTTGTTAAGGCTGCCAGCAGTCATGAAGCTCTCCTTCATAGTCAAAGTCATGCTAAGCCATTTATCACCATCCCCTCTGTGATGTAATTTAGTCATATACAAAGTGGAACGAAATGGATAAACCTTGAAAGCAAATACAAAACAATGACACTAGTTTACTGCAGACGAAAGTACAAACCTGGGACAACTTCATCTGCATGTTGGCAAAAACATGCAGAAAACCCACCACTGCGTCCCACAGCCTGCTGTGAGCCAGACTCTGCTGGTTCCCAATACATGGACCCTGCATCACACAGCGTGAAGAGGCAGAGAGAGAGGAGAGGGATAATCACAGAAACATCAAAGTTAGACTTTTTAACTCAGGGTTTAATGTGTTCTTGTAGCGGCGCAGTGTGTTGTGATGGAGTTACCTGTATATACTCAGTTAAAGAGTTGAAGACCTGCTTGGCCACTGCGAGTGCTCTGGAGAAATTCCTCTGACCGGCTTCGTCTATTACATCCTTACCGGAGTAGTACCAGTAAAAGTCGCTGATGGATTCCTTATAGAAGTAAACAAAAAGACATGCTTCATTAAACAACATATACAGAACAAAGACAAGACATTATCCTAGATCTATCTGTAACAGTATCATACCTGAAGTCTTAGCAGGTAGTCTACAGTACTAATAATGATGTTGACTGTAGTTGTGTTTCCTGTTTGAGTCCTCAGAAAGTTCTGGAAATCTAAAACAGATGACAAAAAAGTAAATAACTGGAGGTAGTGGAATCTTTTCCCCTCACAGGGTCTATTTCAAAACATCATTTGGACACATGCAGCACAAGGTAGCATCTTCTTCAACTTTACATTTTGAGAAAATGTCCACCTACCATTGTTGTGGCCCTCACAGAGAAGCTGCAGAAACCTAAAGAGATCCTTAGTGAACTCATCATTCTGCAGCACTTTGGAACCTGGGGACAGAAAAGGAGATTAACCGTCCCATTCGGCCATAAGAAGGTCGGGAACTCATTATTTTTTACGTCAGTTCAGGCATCAGGGCTTGCATAGCTTTCACTTCCTCATAAAGCTGCTGCCTAGTTGTCAAATGCCATTAAATAATGTGCACTATACTCGGGGTTCAGAACACAAGGACGGGGAATATAGTGCATCATTTCATAGATTAAAAACAGGGTTTATAGTCGGAATAAAACGGAGCTTTGTTGTTTAACACCAGCAAAGCTTTGTTGTGTCTGACAATCAAAGCTTTAGGAGATTTATTTCTTATAAATTAAAGTTTGTTAGTATAATAAAAGTTAGTAAATGACAAGCAATGGCTTCTTATAAAAAAAAAAAGGAAGGAAAAAAGTGGAGAGATTTGAGTCAGTTTTCGGGCATCCAACCCTGGACTGAACAATCTATCCGGATGTCAGAGGAGCATGCATGCGTTCCTTCAGTCCAAGGTACAAAGAAGGTGGTTGTTTTGCATTCAGGGTGAGGGGAGGAGGAGGGGATCGGGGGAAGGAGGATTGGAAGGAAATAAGGAGAGGGAGGGAGGGAGGAGTTTAACGGAGAGCAATCAAGATGTCGGCATTGCATAGGATGAGTAGAATCTAAACCATGTATTTACCCTGCTCACTCACGTTGACTGCGACCGATGACATAAAAAAAATGATCAGAAGAAAACAAACAAACAAAACAAAAGCAGACATAAGCAAAGGAGAATACATTTATATTCAATCAGAAGAAGTAGGAACAGGAGAGAATGATAGCGCTATAGGAGTATCTTTACATACACTGATTTGCGACAGACATGCGGTACGTTTAACGAGGTTTGTAGGGACGGTCTGCTCTGTAGGCAGGTGTTTGAATCACTAAATATCAGTATAACAGTTACCATCACTTATGCCTGAGCTTTATGAGGTGAAAATGAGCTGGAATATGTATGAGGAAATAATATTTGTATACTGTATGCTACCCATCGGGTCAAAATTAAAGCAGATTTTCATGTATGTAGATGTCATTTTTAGTGGCAGACAAGGCCCAGACAGGACTTAGACATACAGTAGCACAGGTTCACCTGCCTGATGGTGACATACAACATGACACACGAGACACACATGGCATGGAGAATGGGTGTGTACGACAGCAAACTAAAGAGCAGAGATGTTTGGATTAAGCTACTCCTGTTTAATTTGTCTATCAGCTACTAAAGAGTCTGACTAAAGACACATAACGTCATGGGCCTGTATGAGACACACGGAGAGTTCAACACCAAGCCTCATTGATATTATTAAAAGGCTATGAGCCATATGTGTGGCACTTCAGCTCACAGTTAGGACGGTAGAACTCTGTTTACCATTTGTACATGTATCTTCTTCACTTACTTGATCCTTCTTCAGTTACCATCCCCAGACCTTCAGCTTTATTTTGCCTTTCAAAGGCATTCAAGTCCAGGACGCTGTAGGGGATAAAAGACAAAGTCTGACCTATGATTCAATGAATTTCTATATTCAGTATTTCTGTAATATGGATGTCAGAGGGCTACTCCATCATTTCAGTATTGTGTTTCCTTTAAGTTGGTGCACTGAACAGGATAGTATTAGGTTGAATAATGTAATGATATTCAGATTTGAGTCCCTTATATATAGGTCAAACTCCAAATACAAAACATCCAACCTTTCTTACAATGCAAACAATAGTATCATTTCACTGAGGCTTCCCTGACCGATGACATCTAGGTTGTTGACAAAATCTAAATGGAACCATAAGTCATTGTACAACTATTGTTGCAGGCTTGGTAAGTTCTTTCTGTGACTGGTGAACTGACAGTGCAGTGCACAATTTGCAGAGTTGGCCTATGTTAGAGCTATTAAAACATGAGAGTGTAGTAGATATATTATGTGTTCTTCAGCGTTTGATCCCCTCACACTAGTGCAGCATGCTTAATCGAAGGCAATTAAGATTGCAGTCAACCCTGGCTGCTGATTGGTTGAAGCTTACAGCATGCTCCCAGTGCTGGCTTGTTTGTTTGATTGGAGGCTGTGAATATATTTTTAAACAGAGGTTTTCCTCCTCCGTTTAAAAAAACTAATCCCATCCACACACGCTCAGTTTTTAAAAACATCCACATGAAAACGCACTGTTATGACTGTCATGAGCATGCCAAGTCAAAATCGATGTCATTGACACGCTTACATTTTCTCGCCATTCCTCTTCAACCAATGACCATTTTACAAAGTTGTCCATTCAGGCGCCTCTGCCCGACAACATAGTGGGAGCACTAGTTTGGTAACGTGTGCTGTCGCACTAATCTCATGTACACAAAAGTTCCAGCGTCGCATAATGACGTCAAAATGGAGGAGAAACCAGCGCACAGTGTGACATTACAAGCCCCAAACTCCGTTTTCCCCGTCAACACAGAAACACCTTAAGCAGAGTTTCTGAAAATCTTCACCTTGGAAGGAGTTTTCCCAAAAGATGTGTTTTCAGTGACCTGTAGGAATGTTTGCGTGTGTACAAAAGGCCAAAAAGCACCATTTAAAAAAATACGCCTACGTGTGGACTTAGCCTCAGTTTTTTTGTCGTTTTTTATATTTTTTTTTGTATCTGTAATGACAAGAAAAACTTTCAGTAAAATATTGAAATGAAGAGCCTGGACTGGAGTTTTTTTATGAAGCATGCGTCAGATATGTTTCCAGCTCTGCAGTTTGTGTGTGTGCAAGACAGAGCCACACTAACACCCTATAAGTTGAAGTTGAGAAATAAAACACAAAGTATGCTTTCCATTTTGTGTGTAATAATTATTTGAAGATTTGTTACCTGCACGACATCATCAGTCCAGACAAACTTTTAAAAAAGCCAACATCTCTTTTTTCCTTCAGGTAATCCAGCATTTTCTGTGTCAAGATAAAAGTACCATCAACAGGGGGCTGTGCCTTTGAATGACACATAGTCTACCTGCAATCTACTGTGTGCATACCTGCTGGACCAGTATGTTTCCCCCGTTGAGGATAGAGATTCCTAGTTTGAGGGTGAAAGTCACCATAGCAGCAAGTCGACCTGATGATCACAAATGATACATCATGTAGACACTAGATGGCAGCTATAAGACGGCAAGAGGGTGAACTTGTCTTTTCCCACCTTTGCTGGCACTGATCATCTGAAGCACCATCTCTGCTGCTCCTCGATCATGAAGCCTCGCCTGCTGGTACAGCATTTTTTGCTTCTCCATTTCCTTTTCCTGTACAAAATCAATAACATAGTAGCAATCACACATCAATATAAATCCAAAACAAACAGAAATAGAAAAAGATTATTCCTGAGAAATCAATAGTACACCTCAAATGTTTTCTCTTTTCCTTCTTCCTCTTCTTCTTCTTCACCTTCAGCACAGCTCTAAGAGAGAGAGGAGAGATTGTGAAACCTGCAAAGCTTTTGTTGAACTGTTTAAAATTGAGCAGAGAAGAGAATTAGGTACCTTTGCCATCATATCTGCATATGCAATATACAAGGGATCCTCTTCTAAAGAACTAACAAGAAAGGAAAATACATATCTGATGTTAAAACCTTACAGAATACACAATCACATCACATCATTCGCTTCTCTTTATTAGCTAAAGAGCAGGCCAAAACTGTTCTATAGCACAGATGGAGCAACGTGTGTGTGTGCCAGGTGAACAGGTGTGTTTACCTGCACTCGGTCAGAGCGTTATGGCTGAAATGCAGAATGAGCTGGTGAAGAGGGTCTGGCTGCTTTCTGATCTCCTCCTCCTCCTCTTCCTCCACTTTCGGCTGCGTTTTCTGAATAAACCCACACAAAGTAAGTCTCAGGCTTGTACGTAGCCTATATGCCATAGAATATACGTGTCTACTTACCTAATCAGGTACAATAAAAAAAAACCACAGTAGTACGATACACTGATGGCATGCAGACGATAAACAAGCACAGTCACAGACTTGATGGCAGGCACACACACCAAGGAAGATGATCAGCAGGGTTAAATTGATGAGATTGAAGTTAAGCGTGACTCTCCATTAGCCTCACTTTTACACTTTATCATAGACTTCCTATGATAAACCGTCCATGGTAACAGACACGTTTCTGAAGGGCGTGTCTCTTGGTTGGTTGGATCATAAAGTTCTTCATCGGTCACATTCTTTTGATTAGAAATACTTTAGAATCAGATGTGATTCCTAAAAATGTCTAAAAGAATATTAGATTACCATAACTGTTATTCATTCAATTTGAATGTTCATTATTGAATACAAAAACCAGCAGCAGTTGGCACAGTACGGCATATCCAGATCCAGCATGTCCCCATGTTACTATCCATTATCTCTATTAAATACTTGAGGCTTTTTTTCTATCCATTCCCTCTATGCAAATGGTGCTGTAATGAGGAACAAAGTGCTCGATATTATTTGCACTTCTGTGAAGTTGTGGAGAAAGAAATGTCTACTTCTTCCTCAAAAAGCGCAATGAAAGTGTTTTTTTTTTTTTTTAATTCCTGAAAGATACAGCATCTTTCAGCAATGTCTTTTCTAAGTCCAAGCATCACAGCTGATGATGTTTGTCTTAGAAGGGACGCAGTGGTTGAAAAAACCATGACATCACTGGTGATGTCATGCTTGCTATAAATGGGCCCGGTTTTGAGACAGCTTATGGATGACTAAGTGTGACAAAGTGGTACCTGGTGGACCGATTTCAAGCACTTTGAACACTGAGACATAAAAAGGAGAAGGACTACGAGGGGGAACGCGGTGGGGCGGCACAAGTACTTACTGCAAGGTCCTGCACTAGCTTCTCCTCAAAAGAGTATTCCTCTGTTTCTATCCATATTCTCTGATAGGCCAGGAGGAAGAGGTTAATAGAGCGATGCCTGAGGAAGGTTGAGAGGAGATTAGGCGGGGTTAGAGAGAAGCAGGGCAAAGGAAGGAGACGTCCCCTTTGGAGGAGGTTAGTACTGGTTAGCTTAGGGTGCTGGGCATGTCCAACTGGTCACCTTAGAGAAAACTGTCATGTTATTTATAAAAACAGGGGAGTAGATGTTCTTTGATGAACTGTTGATCTAGGAGAGATCAGCAGGCAGAAATAGCAGTTTCAAGCTAGATTATTGAGTTTTTTCATATATGTAAACATTAACAACAATGAAGGGGATTTTTTTTTTTTCATTTAAGTTAAAACAAAAAGAATCTTTCCAAGACAAAATATACATGAGAAGATGAAGACCACTCTAAAGTCTGTTTCCGTATTACAACTCCACAAACAATTAGCTTAGCTTTGCACAAATCTTTGGCTCTTTAAACTTTTGTTAAAAGCTTCTGTGAAAAGTTTTTAGTTGATCGTGAAACAGACTGAAATTATTATTGATGCCTCTATGTGACCAATGAAAGCAAATGAGACCAAAGTTATTTTCTGTTTAGTTGTGTTTTATCGTCTCTAAATGCAGCTGCCGGCGCGAGGTGTCAGAGGATGCCTTCAATAACAGGCCTCAGAGCGGCCATTGTTTAACATTGACACATACAGTACCAAAGCTCCCTTACAGAAGCTTTACACATATTCAAGGCTAGCTTTTACCACCTGCTTCCAGCATTTGTGCTAAGCAAGATTGTTTCTCTGCTTACTTCACATTTAGCTTACAGACACAACACTTAATGCATCTCTGCATCCTGCTCTTTACCAGTATGTAATGTAAAGCATTTCTTAAATCAGGACCAGTAAAAACAATAAACAGCATGCACATCAGAAGGGGAGTCAAACCTGCAGCACAAACTGTAGCAGTAGGAAAAGCTGTGGGTAGTTAAGTAAGGAATGTAATGCAAGGTCATACAGTAGCAGTATTGGATCAGCACTACATTACCGTCAGCATGGAGAGCAGACTGTCATAGCCTGTGTTCTCATGCATTATCTCCAGCCAAATATGTCGGTAGGCTTTCAGGAAGTAATTATTATTTTTGTGCCTGAGGGAATGAGGTACAATAGAGTGTGACACTGAGAGGAGAACAAAAGGCTGAACAGAGAGACAAAAGAGAAAAGACGACGTCTGAATGCGTACAACTCAGGGGGGGGGAAGAGTCGACAATATCCAGAAGTTTGACATCCAACCAGTAAATCAGATCAATCACTGCAAACAAGAAGCATAAAAGTGTGTCTGCATTGTAAATACGGTCTAACAATTAGAAGCTATGTTCTGTCATATTTCACTGCCAACAACTCTGAATAAATGAGTCATGCTGTCAGGCGGGCGGGACTGAAGATGGCCACCCATAGGTTGGTCCTCATAATTGTTTTCTTCCCTACTGTAGCTCTCTGCCTGACTACTTGTGATTGAGTTACAGAGCAGCAGGGCATGAAATTGCCAGTGTCCCTTTTTCTACTCCTTGATAACAGCTGCAGGCCAGACATTTGTCCTTACAAACGCAGGGAGGGAGGCTGTGCATTAATGCAGGGTCAGAACCCACAGAGAAAGAAAAATGAGAGTCCCGAGTGAGAAAGAAATACGTGTGGTGGTATTTGTCCATTAGAGGTGACATCACAACATGCTGTACTGTTTGCCTTCCACTGGGACCAACCAATGCAACTGTCATCTTTGAATGATTAAAAGGAATTACTTGAGTCTAAAATCAGAGCAGGAAAGAAGCAGACGCTGTAGGTGTGAGGTCAATAGTCATACCTTGGTAGGTTATAAAGTGGAGCCATGCGGAAACAGGCGACAACCGCTCGCTTCCTCTGTTTGGACAGCAGCTTCTGCCATACACATTTCTTTGATCTCAGTGGCTGTTCAACCTAATGGGTGTCGAAGAAATAAGTGTAAAGAAAACATGATTAATCAGAACAGTCGACCAGCATTTTCTACAAGGTAACTAAAGGGAATAAACATCGACTAGCATCAGATTTTTCCTCAGCGCTGGAGTTTAGTATTTTGGTGATTCATCATCAACTTTACTGAGAGGAAAAGCAGTGGCTGAATCAGACAGATTACAAAAAAATGATAAGTAGAACGTGTGGATTTTTCTTGATTTTACAATATATGGTTAATCATTAAGTGCTACGATGAAGCCACATCCTAAACAGATGATCAGGACCTGTGGAAGCAAAAGTTCTCTAAGGACCTAAAATAAATCAAACTATGTATAATTAGCAAACTAACCTTAAGTACCATTAGCTGTGTATTTGATGATGTCATTATTTACCCCCAATGGGGAATCAATAAAGTCGATCTTATCTTATCTTATTATAATATTATTATAGCACCATTTTCCCTAAGGAGCTTTTCATCAGAACACACAAACTCAATTAACCGAGTCATGTTCTCCATGCTTTACACAAGTGAGCCATTTTCACATCACGATATGTTTGGGTGAGTATGAATGCTCGAGCAGAGACCTGCTCCAGGTTGAAGACAGCAGCAGAGATCCTCTGGATCCGGTCCACAACCCTGTCAGGATCTGGAGGCCCCTCGATCCTCATCGCTATGTCCTTGTATAGGTTCAGCTGCCACCTCACAGCGGGGTCCTCTGACTGAAGAGTTACACAGGAGGATGTTAGAAAACAACAAACAGTACACAAAAGTGGGAGGGGACGGGTATAATAACTTCATATTGATTTGGACATATTCACCTTTACTCGAAGATGCATATTCTGTCGAATGTGGTCTTTGACCTCTTCATCTGTGTCTCTCTTTTGAACAAAGAAGGAATAGTAAAGATAATCTATTACAGGGAACTGTTACTGTTTTCATGTTGAAGGGAAAAGGATCATGTTTGATCTCATATGACCAATGTATAATGTGTCGCTGGTGCATGGTCATATAGAAGTTGTCTCACCAGAAGGTAGCGCATCTTGGCCAGGGATTAATTAGCTTATTAGCTGGTCTTTTAGCGAAAAACATACAACCCCAATCACACGGTTGGGACATTGTGTAAACTGTAAATAAAAAGAGAAGCTGATCATTTGAATAAACATTGAAACGACATGCTTGTTTGAAAATATCACAAAGACAACATGTCTGAAATATTCTTTGATTTTGGAAAATGATATGCTCTCTTTAAATTTGAGGTCAACAACACGCTTCATAAAGGTGGCAAAAAACAAAAAACCAAAAACCCAGATAGAACATCTCACTGTTAATAAGGTTAACTGGCAGCAGATTAGCATCAGGATTAGATATAATCATAAAAAAGATCAACTCAGAAAGGCTGAGTCTTTGCAGGCTGTGCAAATAGTGCAACTCTTCAGAAATAAGGTATTGCAACATAAAATTGCAAAGACTTTTGGGGATTTCATCGTTAACATTAAATAATATAATTAAACGACTCCAGGAAGCTGAAGAAATCTCTGTTTGCAGGGGACAAGATCAATAACCAATATTGGGTGATTCTGATCTTTTGGACGTCATACAACATTAAAACAGACTTTGTAGGGGACCCCACTGTGCATGGACTGAGGAACAATTAGAAAATCATCGTCTGCAATAACAGTTCATCGCTGCATTCACAAATACTAGCTGAAACTCTACCATGCAAAGAGGAAAACATTTTTAAATCAGATGCTGAAACGTTGTCTTCTCTGGGTCCAGGCTCAAGGTTATGTGGTTCACACGTCTCAAGAGTCAAAACTCTTTCTGTTTGGAAATTCTGTAATCCACGTTCTCTGGGCTGAAGAGGAGAGGGACCACCCGGATTATTGTAAGCGGACAGTTCAAAAGGCAGCACCTGTGATGGTATGGGATGCATGAGTGCACATGACATCGTTAATCTGCACAAGTGTAAATGCACCATTAATGCTGATCCACAGAAACAGGTTTTGGAGCAACATGTGCTGCCAATAAGACAACTTCTTATTTTCAGGAAAGTCCAGGCTAATTTCAGCAAGACAATGCCAAACTACATTCTGCATGTATTACAACAGCGTGGCTCTGTAGGGAAAGAGTCGGGGTGATAAACTGACCTTCCTGCAGTTCCAACCTGTCAGCCATTGAAAATGTTTGGAGCATTATGGATCAAAAATACGACAAATGAGAACTACATTTAAATACATACTTTTCTGAAACGTGTTACTGGCCTCAAATTCAAAATGGGCATATCATTTTCCAAAATCAATTACATTTAAACATTTGATTTGTTGTCTTTGAGTTGCTTTTAATTGAATTTGGTTTTTTTAATGATTTGCAAATGATCACATTCTGTTTTTATTTACATTTTACCGAATGATCCAACTTGTTCTATTTAAGGAATACCTTCACTTCAGTTTTATCTGGAGGTGACTGATTTACATATTCTTCAGCCCTGACAGAAACTGTGACCAGACTGACTCTGAAGCATGACAAAGCTTCACTCCTCAGCAAAAAAATCTAGCAGAACTGATGCTGATGGTAGCATAAAGAGAAGCCTGCACCTTTGAGTCAATTTGAAAACATAATTTCCATATTAATGCATACACACAGACACACATGTACACACACAGTTATCACACGTCAACCACGACATCACATGAAATAGCCTCGGGAAACTTTTGGTCAAACACACGAAGAAAAAACACACACAATTCATCAACTGCAAACACACCAGTCACATGATGCTCAACAGAAGGGGCGGGGCTTCATTACTCCAGATGAGCTCTGCCCATGAGGGAATGAGGGAATGATGAAAATAACCATGTCACACATGATGAATGGAGACCACAAATAATAAGGGACATGATTTATATATTGAACTACACTATAGACTCAGCACAGCAGCACAAGCTATTGGCTTTTCTGCACGGCGACTGCAGCATCTAAGCCAATAAGCTGGCAGGTCAACGGCTCATGCACTGCATCACTCTACCTTTTCCTTAAAGGACTGTTTGAGACAGAGAGAAGGACAGAAAGAGAAAAGGGAGATAGAGGAAAAAGATGAAGGCGCGGTTAATGGAGGCACGCAGTCCTCGCATGGACGTGAACGTCAATGAAAAGCATTTGTTTGCCTTCAAACAGCTCACCAGGCAGACAAGAAATAAATGTTCTGACCCCCTTAATGCATGTATGGAGGAATATTACTTTACTGAGGGATGAGTGTTAGTCTTTTGTAATGTACTGTTAAATCATGCATGCGTAAGTTCACACACACAATCATAAGTCAAGGTCAGACACGATCCTGCTTATTCTGGATCCTTTTCAGCTTTGTCATATAAACATTGGCACATGTTTTAAAGGTCGAATGCATCCTTAAAATGCCTGAAAGACTTTGAATCTGCTTTCCTAGCAAGAACTTGAAGCAGTTGAGAACACAAAACCTACCTTAGCCATCTTGGTTTTATTATCTCCGGTCAAGAAGGAGAGGTTGTTGATTTCATTCTGGACCACAAAGTTCTGCTCCTCTCTTTTGAAGTTCTGAAGAAAGACAAATGTCAATGGAAGATATTTATGTTTCATCAGTGTTGGATTACTTAAAGGGCTGCTGTTTTTTTTTGGCGCTGGATATGAGACAACTTACATGTGACTTGCACCAGAGTATGAAAATCTCAGCGACCATCCTGAAGAGCTCATTGGAGTCAGCATCTGGTTCTTTCAGCCACCTGGACCTGCAGAAGAAGAAGACATAGATTTATTCATCCTCTCTATCTTATCTGCAAGCACTAACATCCACCTGAACTATTCCTAAATAACCCCTTTTAAAAAAAAAACAACTTCATCATGCAGCTGTCAGTGAGCTAACCTGTTGTTATCCACATAGCGGATGAGCATGGGGTAAAAGGCGTACAGGTCCCTGCAGAGTACAGCGAACTCGTCCAGGATGAGCAGCTCCGCCTCCTGCGTGTCTCCTTTACTGTCGGCTTTCAGCAGCTCTTCCTCAGACACCACCTTCACCGTCTTCTTCTTCAGCTTCTCCAGCGTAGGCAGGAAGTGGCTCTTCAGCAGGTCTGCACGGGCCTTGCTGATGATAGGTTGCACGTACACTTAAAACGGCAAAAGAGAGAGAAAATGTCACTCTGTAACAGACGATCACATGAACGTAAAGACAGTCATTTCAAAACCCTATAGAAACAATCAGTGTGCTCTCTTATGGTTGTGTTTTCTTCAGTAGCTCATATGGAGGCATCAGTATCAATTTCAGTCTGTTTCATAATCAGCTTAAAACTCCTCACAGCAGGAGCTATAAAACGTATAGGGGAGTAAAGATTACTTGAAATATAGATATATTTTTTCTGTTCTAGTGTAAAGAGAATAAAATAGAAACAACAAGTGGTAGGCTTTAAAACATGAAAAGGAAAAAGGAAAAAGGAAGGCAATCATGTGTGGCCTCATGATGTCAATCTCCATTGTATTTACGCACCTGCAATCCTCTTCATCCAGGAGGCTTCGTCGATGCCCAGGTTGTTGTTGAGGATCTTGAGGATGTTGCCCAGGATGAGGCTGAGGTGCTCCGAGGTGACAGTGGTGCAGCAGATGCTGCCCCCGCTGGCCGGCTGGTTCTCCGGTCCCCTCTCCCACCAGTAAGAAAGGTAGTTACACAGCATGGGCAGCACCACCTCGATAACGTGAGGCATCTCGGTGTACCTTGCTCCAGACTCAGCCATGTCGTTGATGTCCTTCATCAGACCGTCCAGCCGCGGCATGCCGGGACACATCTCTACCACTGAGTCTGGTATGCCTAGGACTGAGACACCACAGGGGATTCACATTACAACATTATTTACATAATCAAATTAAAGTTTTATTCTAAAGAGGAGGGTCACTCAAATATACAAACATAATGTGCAAAAAGTACGAAAGGAACAAAATACACATCAGATTATTTGAGCTGTCAAACATAAAGAACATCTCAAAATAATGAGATGATTTTAAAAGTCAGACACTTGCTTTAACCATAAAAATAGCTTTTTGATTTGACACTCTGGTCCGCCCCTGGTAATGACCTCGTCTATTTTAGAATAATTACATATGACTCACTGGCTCGCTCTCTGGCACTCTTTGTGTTAAAGACAGAGAAGGGGTTGTACGTGTTTAACAGCGGCTCCAGGAAGGCCACAGGCATGGCTCCAGCCAGGGTGGCCAGACAATGGCCGAGAGCTGGGAGCTGTCTTGAGGGACGAGGAGAAGATGTGAGGTCGTAAAAAGATGCTTTTAATATCAATATGAGTCGAAATCAACACAAAGCTGTAGTTGAGATACCTTTCCACATAGATGTTTTTCCCAGTGCCCAGTGCATAGAGACTGGTGAGGATTCGATAGCAGGACACCTGGACATCATCCACTGGAGAAAAAGAAAGAAAATTATAACAAGAGAAATTGTAGCATGATAATAAAAGCAGGTTATTGGTTCTGCACTTCTGAGCTAAATGTTAACACGCCTGCTACTACGCTTACAGATGTTGACGTTTGACTGATGTCACGTTTTTGTGCAACATGTTGTTCAGCATTATAGTTTAGCTTGTTAGCATGAAACCCTAAAAGCTGATTTTACTTAAAGCAGGTTTTGTAGCTATTTCTAAATGAAATCAAATTTTAAACATAGCTTACTTTAACATATTCTGTCTCCACTGAGATTAACTCTGCATTGTGAAGGCCTGTGTAAATGTCCCTTGTTAATTTGCTAACTCATATTTATATGGGGGAATTTTAATATACTTTTGTGAGGGTAAGCAATACAAATGTTCCAGGATATAAAGCATGTCATCGCTGCATTACATCAGACTTAACACCGACACTTGACTGCAGTTCTTAAGACTCCTCTTGCACAACATTTTGATCATTCCTGTGCTGTCAGGACTCACAAAGCAGGTCGACTCCAAAGTGGTGTTGAGTGATGTGCTCAAACAGAGCTGTTAAAATGGGGAGCAGTGCTACAGTGGTGTAGTTGATGTTCTGCGACACCCCTTTCATCTGCGAGCGAGAGTGAGTGAACTTCCCCAGCTTCAGGTTCTCAAACGTCTTCTCCAAGTCCTCAGCTGCGTTCTCAAAGAACGTCCTGAGCCCCACCCTCACGGGCTCGGAGCCAGACTTCATCACCGTCCTGGTGGAGGGAAAGAGAGCGTGATAAACGACTGGCAATGTGCGAGGGCAGGGCTAAAATAAAGCTCAGGATACCCCTTAGTACGCAAAGGACAACACTGTTTACCAAGGCAGGACACACTCATATATGCAATTATCTAATTCTCACAGTCAGAGAAGGTTTTTAGTCATGAAATATGAGGCATGAGTGTCAACCTTGACCTCCCTTACACTGAAACATAGATGATTTGATTTAATGAATCAGGTGGATATTTAAATCTAAGGTGAGCTTGCCAATATTACTCTGAAACAGCACACTGCATTAATTTGATTAGTCTGTCTATTTTCAGCATTTCACAGTTCATAACATTGCTGAATAAATTAGTCTTTGTCGCTCCTTGATCTGTCCCACAGGAAGGAGAAATAAAAGACAGAGAGTATGTGGGCATCAGCTGCAGCTCTTCGACACAAGTGCAGATTGAGCCTCATTATGTGAGAGCTGCCTTTACAAACAGAACATTTTCTCGTTAGAACACAATAAGCTTTAGGCAACATGTGGCACATGAAATTTAATTTGCTCATTTAAATGCCACAAGATTCTCTTCCTTAATGCCAGTGCCTCCAGAAAGACAGCCAAATACTTACTGTTAGAAATAAAATGCCCTTTATTTAGCAAATGCCCTCCTCTTGGGCGTCAGAGGTTAGATTATAACTCATGGTTTACGTGGGGACAACTTCATTGGTTTCTCAAACAGTTATTGTTTAGGCTCAATAATAACCTGTCACAGGGCTGTTGTCTACATTCAAACAACTTCAATGGTGATTTTTATTTCAATTTTGTTTTTCAAGGAGGAGACTCAAAAGTGCCAGGCTCCTTTTGAGTCTCCACTGTTGCCTAAAATGTCCTCACCTGGTGTCCAGGGTGTGAGCCAGAATATGCAGGCAGCTGACGATAGTAGTGGAGTCACTCCCTATAAGAACACAATCATCAGCCATCAGTATGATGTAAACACACACACACACACACACAGTCTACCATGCTATGTCTGTTTATTTAGAATGCCACACAAACTCTAAACAAACAGGGTTTAATGGATTTCTGCTCTATTTGATAAGGTTAGAGGATCTTTATCTAGTTCACGGCCACACTGTGATGTATTATATGCACTGTGGTTATGACACAAGCGTTTAAATATTGAACTCGGTGGTTGAGTTGATTGAATAAAGCCTCAAATCGAAATAATCCATCATCTCTTCCGTGGGCATGGCTTGAGAACCTTTGTTTTTTAAAAGCTCATTATTGTGGTGAAAAGGAAGACTGTTCATTGCATGTTGCTGGGCATTACATGAGACGATTGACACCATCCTTATTTCTGACAAATGAATATAAAGCTACACCATGTGTGGGTGAATTTAGAAAAGCATTTAGAGCGGAAAGCCAGTCAAAAAACAAATCATAGCTCTCTACAAAGTAGGAAAAAAGAACAGCCTGCATACTGTTTAGCTCACTGGTTAATGTAATACATCTTGTTTGTTTAACACGTGACAGAAAAAGTGTTACAGATTAGTACTGCAGTATGAAAAATAGAGCTAAGAGCTAGAAACCAAGAGAATCCCTTTTAGACATGATAAAACCTCACTTACTTTTTTCACCACACGCTGTCATACATACACACACACACACACACACACACACACACACACACACACACACACACACACACACATTGCTGACCAGTCAAGGCAACCAGCTTACCAAAGAGAGAAATCCTATGTCTGACAAGAGCTGCCAGTTTACAAAAAAGGCTGGAGGTGTGAAGGACAGAAAAGGGAGTTCAAATTAGTTAAACTAAGTGGAGAGAAGATTAGTCATCAAGAGTTAAGATTTTAAATAAAGATGGTGAAGAATTGTGTTTCTCATGCTTCATTGTTGCAGCGTAAAGAATTGTTTCATTTTGTACCTGGTTACCATCTCCTTCTCCTTGTTGGAGGCGTAGCCGCTACTGCTCAGGTTTTTATTGGGGGAGGAGAGGAAGTAGAGGGAGTGGTTCTTAAAGTACTGATCAATGAGCGGAAGAAGAACCTGAGGGAAGATATCACAAAAGACAAGACCAGATCATATAAATAGACATTTAATATAAAAGACCTATCTGTGTGGACAATAGTTGTAATTACATAGACACTTACTTTGGCAAAAAACTTGATTTCTTGTTCATGAGGGGACCTGTCTGTTTTTCCACTAGCGGCCATGGCCTCTGGATGGATATGGAATGACACATTTAATAGAAAGAAACAATACTTCCTGAAGTTCTAGCAGTCAGGTTTTATGTAACATGAACTTACCCAGGTGAGCAATGAACTCCTGAGCTGAGTCAACATACTTGAGCAGCTTCTTGAGAAACTTATAAGCAAACCTCTTCTCCATGGATGAGGAATCCTGCTCCAAGTCCTTCAAACCTCTGCAAAAGAAAAAAAGAGTGTTAAGATATTTGCAATAAATCACGTTAGAAATCACAGGATTCTGAAGTAATCCATATGATAGCGTTTGAGGGGGATTCTAAAATGACTGACCTTGTGATGATATAGCCATTAATCTGCAGGAAGCGGAAAAGGTCCTGAGCCTTCTCTCGATCGCGGGCCTTTTCCTTGGCTGTCAGTGTTTCATAAGGCACCAACAGAGGGTGTGTCCCCCCACCTGAAACCAAACAAAGACCTGTTTTAGGGCAGATGGTTCACATTAAGTGGACATTCTGCTTAAATTAACAAATTCAGTCCAGATGAGCAAGGCAAAACATGCACACGCTCTTAGACAAATACAGAAACAACCAAATGGCAATCTTCATCCACCTAAGCACACACACACACACACACACACACACACACACACACACACACACACACTCAGGCACATGGTCTGATTCCTTTCTGTTTGGCAGGTATGTGTGTGCTGTAATATATGCTTCTATGATTGACTTTAAGATGAAATCACCTCTGCTTCCAAGGTCGCTCTTTTTCTTCTTGGCCCAGATGTTATGATAATTTTCAGATAACACCTCCACCATCCCCTTGGAACAAAATAAATAACAGTACATCTTAGTGTGGCGCATTTCCCACCCACGTTACTCACTCACATTCAGAAATAATTGCTTTTCATCTCATGTTCAGACTGATAGATTGTTTGATGTGTACAAAGCACAGCAAAACATAATATGTAAGGTCGCTCACCTGCAGCTCTCTGGATAGAATCACGTTGGTTGTGTCTATTGGGCTCGGATTGAAGCCGTTTGCCTAGAGTTTAAGAAGATGCAGATTTACAGTCAGGCATTGAATATAAACAGCTTAAAAAACACTTTGATTAAACAAGATTTCAGCTTTAATAGCATTTGTTAAAGGATTAATTCGATGTCTTGAGGCTTTGGGTCTATTGTGCTATGAGATTAGCAACTAAAATTAGCTTAGTGTCCACTGGAAAATACAACTAGATCTGAATATCTGAAGATGCATATAGCCTATTCACTTCTCACTCTCTTTATCAGTCTCCAGTTTTCCACCAGATCTCAAAGAATTACTACACAATAATTCAATGTTATAATGAGCCAATGTAGATGATGAATCTTCTTCAGTCATACAGGACCGCTGGCTTTGTTTAAATTGTGTTTTTGAAGTTTCTTTGTTTGACCTGCCTTTGATACCTATCTTCCTGCCATGCCTGCCTTATCTTAAATAAATGTGCCTGTAAGTTTTCAGTTTGCATTTTATCTTACTGGCTGTGTTAAGAAATATTCCTCATTCACTCCAAACCATGAAAGTTTAAAGTCCCTGTTGGCCTAGATGATTAGCGTGTTCAAATCATATTTAAGGGGATTGCTAAAATAGACTAAAAAAAGAAACACCTTAATGATTATATTACTCATAAAGGAGTAGGATTACATTTTCAGGCATTCAAAATATAAGGTCATGCGTTAATTGTAATTCCAGAGACAAACAACATTGTTAGGATAATTGGCATATTTTTCCATTCTTCTCATAATATCCCCTTCCCTTTTTGGAGATCCTGCATAGTTTGTGTTTATTTGTCATATTCTCAGTACTTCACCTGCGAAGACTGAGAGATCTTCCTCATTTTCTCCGTCTCCCTCAGAGACATGCTTTCACAATCCTTGGTCCTGTCGATGCTCCAGCCCATTGCCAGCATACTCTTCAGGGACTCTCTAATAGGCCATCTGTAAATCTCTTTCTCCTGAAGCCCACAGACAGAAATTGGGGGGAAAGAAAGCCAACACTCTCAATATTCATGATATTTCATCAGTTTGAATCTTCTTAACAAATCTCATATTCAACATTTTGTACCTTCTCTGTGAGGGCTTTGTAGGTCCTGAGCTGAGGGTGAATCTTTGCCTTCTCATCCACACAATCTCCATATTTCCATCCCAGCAGCACCTGAGGAGCAAAGCACAGAGGGACGCCCATGGGTCAAAGGAATCTTCATTGCCGTCACAGTCCCCGGAGGATGTGATTTATTACTCGAAAGACTGGTTAAGAGATTAACTGTGCATCACACGTTAGGGAGCCACAGTACATTCAGTTCCTGCTGTCCTCAGCTTTTGTTAACTTTTTCTGACGAATGCAACAATTCAGACTAGGCAGTTGGCAAGAAAAAGAACACAGGGGCCTGCTACACAGAGACTGGCACAATTATTGTCAGCGTACCCAAAGTATCCCCTACAGAAATTGCTATTAGAAAACATAATCAAAGGAAAAAAATGAAATGAAACAAAATAGAGGCACTCATTTGAATTTGTTTTTCCACTTACATATGGCTGAAATACTTTCTCACTGATTTTGCATGCAGTAACTGTATTCTCCTCATTTTCTTACTGCACTCAAGACTTGTTCCTGGTCGAATACTGAACACTTCTCTGTCCATTTTTTCCAAAGGTTTTCTATTTGGCATTACCTTCTCTGCCGACCACTTCTCATGGGAATGCTCTGCGTATCTGTTGGCAAAGTACTCAAGCTTCTCTGGAAGAGCAATGCTGGAAGAGGACAAGAAAAAGGAGTCAGCTCGTGTATGCAAATGCATGTTAACTCTAAGTCTTGTAAAGTCACACACTGTGCATATAATCACAATATGATACAATCAGTCAGGCTGAAACCAAAAAGTCTTATCGATGTCTGTCTCCAACTTGGCTTACTTAGCAGTATTGATGGGTTTGGGGTCAAAGTTGCCCTGAGCGTCTACAGAAACAGGCTTCTCCAAAGCGGTACAGATAGAGGCGTCCACGTAGTCCGGGGGCAAAGCTCCAGCTATGGCACTAAGGCAAGGCATGGCCATCTTGAAAAGCTCTGCGTCGTATTTCTGCACGGCCAGAGGAAGAAATCAAGAGGTTAGAGCAAAGGCCGGCTCTTTATTTTATGCTACTTGTGAAACATTATTTAAAGAATACATGTAATGTGGTTAGCTCTTTTAAAGTGGTACTTAAATAGAGCTACACAGCTCCTTCAGCAGGGGGGAGGCAGAGCTAATGAAGAATTATTCTAAAAGCTAAGGAACCCAATTGCAAGAAGCTTCGGATCAATGATGGCTGTCAAGATATTGATGTTTTCGGGCCAGCCCTTTTGCACAGCCTCTTTTCATGAGTGTGCATTTAGCGAGATGTGCTGAGTGCAGCCATCTGCATCTGGAACACATCTCATGAAATTGCGGCCAATGAGTCCCTCACATGCAAACATGTTAATCTAGACTGTGATGAATGAGGTGACTTTATTCAACAGTTTATCACTCTAGAAAGGTGTTGTGCTAAAACAACAAATGGCTTTTTAAAGAAGAAGGAGATGTCAGTCTTGTACACATTAATGAATGTTGCTTAGAAAAATGATGAAGTCTTGCAGAGAAGAAGGACCCTGATAAAAAAAATCTTTCCTCACCCTCTGGGACAGAGAATCAAACACTCCCCAGAAGATTTTCTTAGTGAGCTGCAGTTCATCTTCTGATGCTGTGCCGTAGCTGCCCCAGCCTGATGGGAGGCAGTAGTACTTCCAGTTCTGCTCATAGTGGTTGGTTAGCAGCTGGAGGACATGCACACACAGAGCAAAAAGTCAAGAAAGAAGATTGTGACACATAAAACAGAAAACAAGATAGTTGTCTATGTTTTTACGTGATCGGCTCTGGGACATGCAGGAATAACACCTCAAAGGAAATCATCTACCCACGCTCGGATCAAATGAAATTCAAATGTGCACATGAGAGTATAGAACAAGTGTCTGCAATTTCACAGACTGATCACAATCTATTACATCTGCAGTATTTTCTCTCTTGTGGCCAGATGGATGGAGTAGAGTAGTGGAGCCAACAAGCCTGTAATCACACACTCCAATACTTCACCCCCCTTGTTTTCCCTCCTGTAGCTGCCCACTACCTCCACACCCGATGATTAACACCCTGGGTGTATTAGAATGTGCACCTTGGAGAGGGTATGTGTGTAAGACTGAGAGTGAAAGGTGAACACCACTACTTTAAAGGCACAATAGAGTTGGTGGAAATAAGTTGGTGTTATCTTTCCACAGAGCTGACAGTCGACTGAATAAAGGTAAAGCAGGGCTACAAAGCAGGCAACACGAGGACACAACTTCAGTTTGCTTATGTTTCAAAGAGAAACAGGAGGAAACAAGAAGGAGAGCAACAGTCACAATGGGCTTTAAAATAGTGAGAAAAGTAAAGAAATTGTCGCCCACCCTCAGAGGCATCTTGCAGTAATCAGAAAGCAAGGGCACATCAAAGACGAGGCGGCGCAAGAGCTGCTGCAGCATGGAGGGGCGAAGGTGCCTGCAGATAAAGGTTAGAGAGAGAGACGGGGGGGGATAGAGAGAGAGATAAGAGCGCTGCTGCCCTGGGCTGTCTAAAACCAGGACATCTTCAAAATCTGACACATTTTGTCTCAGTAATTTAGAAGGAATTCTTCAGGCCTTGCACTGTTTGAGTTTGATTTAAAGGCAGATAAAATGTGTGGTTGATCTCTTCTGTTCCTTCAAACTGAGAGTTAAACTGATTATTAATTGAAAAAAAAACGTTTGACTCTACAGATAGATCATTTTAGATGTGTCTCACTTGCAAACAGCCAACAGGCACTCCTCTATAGCATCTCTCTGGGCCTTGGTGAGTGAGCGGCCCTTGGACAGGCGGTAGATGGTGTGCAGCGTTGAGTCGATGAGGGTGGCATAGTGCTCCGTGCCAGCAAAGAGAGGAGCGCAGCGGGTGAGCAGGGGAAGTAAGGCTGAGCCGATGTAGCGGTTCATGGCAAGGGCCGTCTCTGTGGTGCACAGACCCTCCTGTAGGAAGAAAGTCAAGTTTCTTTATACAGAGACGTCTATATTTAGTACAATCAGAGTGCTTTACCTTAAGTTAAAACAAAACATTCAAAAGATTCGGAGTATAAAAGTAACAAGTCACAAAAATAGGACATTAAAATACTAGATATGTTAAAATGAAAAATCTGAAAAATAGAAAGAAAGACATCAGGCAATAATAAGACATTTAAAGGCATTCTCACTTTAGCACCAGTCTAAGACCAAAACTAAACTTTCGCTTGGCCAAACCTCTTCTGTCCTTCAGCGCCCTGCCTCCCCGCCTCCCCTCCTATCCCTCTCTTGATGATTTGACCGAGTGCAGCTGTTTGTAGGACTGATATCCATTCTGATATGCAGCTCAAAGATGATTTTAGACCTAACAAAGTATTTTGTTTGGTCTCCTTCAGTTGTTCTCTTTACGATAGCGCCATAAAGCATCATAATGCCTCGACAAACAGCGCCCTGTCACTGAGTGGTAGTGGCTGCCTCTCTTTCCCAAAGTGGTTGTGCAGGAATAACTGTTAAAGAGGGAGTGGTTCGATTAAAAAAGCCTCTGAGTAACACATAATTAAGCTCATGGAGGTGTTGTTCCATCAGTGTGAACACGGGGCTGAGAAAAACAAAACCCAAAGGACTTTGACTTCATTTTTTTTTTTTAAAGACATTACTCAACGATATATTTAGATAGGATATATTTGATATCTACTATATTAATGTTTAAAATAGCGCATTAATACATTAAAAAAGTTCAAAAGTAAAACAATATGTGACAGTGGTAAAATACATTTATTTTTATGGACTCTTACAAAAGAAAAGTTTATGTTGCCTTATATGGTATAATATAGCTAGCGTATGATGGCTAATGCTAGCAAATGTTAGCTGTCGAATAAGTCCAATCCATCAATTTGTTCCCTTGTTGCTGTATTTCAAATTAACTTTTAATATAGTATGTGATGAGTAATACATTTCATGAACACATTCGTTTATATATAAACATATAAATGCCATATAGTGAAATGCATTATGTATACAGAATATTTCATAGATACTATTAGACCCAAGCTTTGACCCGATGTACTTTAAAGCATATAGTTGAGGGAGCCATGTTCATGTTGCTCCACTTGTCTTCATCCACTTATAACTCCAAAAACCTTTAATTGATAATTAAGAGTTAAAAGTATTACATCAATTATCCAAGGAGAAACTAACTAGACTTAATAAGAAGCACCTCTTTTAAACCTCATCAGTGTAAAAGGTTGCCCGATACTATTGATCCTGAAAAAACCCTGATGAAGTTAATGTTACAGAGGCTGTCCATTCATCACTTCTTGCTTGCATTGTTATCGGTGTTACCTACCGTGTCCAGGGATGTAGCTGCCCTCAGGTCAGGAAGGAAGCCCACCTCGAGCAGGTGAAGCAGAAAGCTCTGGTCCTCTATACCATACACCCTGTCCAAGAAGAGCACCATGGGGGCCTTGTGATCCGGACAGAAGCCGGCCGACATGTCTGGCTCTGTAACTGACCCGTCTGAGACGGATTAGGAAAGGGAAGGCACAACACGACAGAGTAAACCACACAGATGTGGAGCGACAATATGCTCGGGGAACAGGCTACAGTAAATAATGAAAAGTCTTTTCTGATTAGGGGACTCGTGTGTATTCATTAGGCAGCGTACAGCAGCACGCAGATGCAAGTTTTCTGGTGCTGAAGCTTGTCGTCTTCACTCTTGGCCTCCTGACAGAGCCTGTGCAGCAGTGCTCAGGGCAGCAAATTTAAGAGGTGAGCCTTGCCATGCTTACGCCGATCAATCAATAGAGCATGATAGCTTGCTATAGAAATGATTTGGCTTACTCAGAGCTATGGGGGTGTGCAGTAAAGCGCTGTGCTGATTAAAAAGGCATGAGGGGTGAAATATAATCAATAACTTTCTGCCTTGAACTAATTGTACAGACTTTGGTAACCATTGTACTTTCACATGAGCCGCTCATCCTGTAGTAGGATGCAGATGAAAAGCACGGAAGTGTAAAGGGGATTTGTACAGAATGCTGATAATGTGTTTTTAACTCTGAGCGTCCTGACCTTTGTTGGTGACGGGCATTTTGAGAGGTATGCTGATAATTCCCACCAGGTCTTCTGTAGGCACCAGAGAGCGCAGAATGGCACGGATACGGAGGGCTTCACCTTTGCCCTTGTTGATGAGCTGAGGTGCAGTAAAACAGAGTGTAAATAAAGAAGACTTATCCCCAAAAATATTTTCAAAAAGTCACTGTTCCTTCACACTTACATGCATCTCTGGGGCACATCGTCCCAGCAGATCGATGAGCGCAGAGTAGAAGGACATGATTGCGTTTCCCATGTGCACCACCTCCTCCTCGTCGTCACCATCAGCAGACCTAACAGGCGCAAGAGTGAAGAGCAAACACTGAAGGCGAGGGGGGGATAGAAAGGGGTAAGTCCTCTGCATTGATTTGATAAGCTTTGCTTGATCTTAAAAGGCTTACACGTCCGAGCTGATTCCATGCACAGATCCCGGCAGGTCCAACGCCGGTGTCTCAGAGATCTTGATGGCTTCCTTCATGGCGGCCAGGAGACCGTTCCCTCCTTCTCCCCTCAGAGCGGGTCCAAAACACTCCGGACGTCTGATAAGCAGCTTGACTACAACGCTGGAGTTCTCCTCCACACTCTCACCTTCAACACAAATACAGAATCTAGTAAGTTTAGGCATAGAGGATAAAGCAGAACATACAACACACACACTCTGATTTAAAGTAAACACATCACTGTCCCTACAGCATCAGGCACAACTTAAACATTTCCTAAGCATCTGAATAAAGCCCTTTGAAACTCAATTGGAGATATATGGAAAGAAGTGGGGAGACAGAAAGAGAGGGTGAGCAGATGGTTATTGTGGTCGTACCATTGACAAAGACAGCGAACCGCAAGAAGGAAAGGTAACGCTCCCCTTCTATCGGGTTCCAGCCGATGTCTGGATAACCTTTAGCCAGGAGCATCGGACAACTCTGGAGACCGCAGCCAGCGAGGTAGGTGACCACCTTCAGGGACGGCACAAAACAACATCATATTCAGATGAATGAATTAAGTCTTTATTGCCTCTAGGGGAATTTGTCTGTCACCAGAGCATGCTAACATAAAAGAGTCAAAAGACATCAACAGCTGTGCCATTTAAATAATATTTACATAAAAACATGAACAAAAAGCCTCGCTTGATCACATGTAAGGGGTGTCAAGTAGCAGGTTCAGTAGAATGTCACGTTCAGTATAATCAGAGTTTATTAAGCAGCTGAATGCTGCGCGGTAAAGAGGAAGTCTCTTTTAGTCCTCATCTGGGCATTCTGTACCTGCGCCATGAGGTCAAGAGGTCATACTCAGACCAAAGAGGGTGCAGTCGGTCTGCTAGGATCATATTTGATAGATTCAGTGTATACGGTCTGTCAGGTAAGAAATGCTGCACATTTGATTCCCCAGTTATCTTGCTGCTTAGTCTAAGCCCCAGCACTGAACACAGAAGGTTAATACACTTACAATGAAGCAATCTCAGCATAGTGCTGTCAACATCTAAGACTTTGCAGAGTTACTTTCTGCCATACTGCAGTAGTATGAAGTTTCACCTTGTCCAGATCAGGTTCTTCCAGAGCCAGAGCCAGGCCGTTGTTATCCATCACGGAGGACGCAGCCACATCCAATGGAGTCGAGCCCCTCATAGCTGGTGACGCTACAAAACAAAGCACAGATATAGAGACAAATGTTTAGCTCTATTTGATATAGCCTGCGTCTTCACATATCTATACAATGATACATAGACAGCAGGGGGCGGTGTTTCCACTCCTCTAAAGTTATGAATATCAGCCGATCTGCCAATAGCAGCTCAACATCAGTGTAACATATCCCCCCAAACACTCTCACAGAGCCTTTATTTATTTATTAATACAGGATATATTTATGTACTTTATTTATAGGACTTATATTAAGGGTTCACACCTGTTTAATGAGCAGTCTGTGAGGTGTGTGTGTGTTTGTGTGTGTGTGTGCATGTATACGACTTGTGTGTATGCACCCTGTAGAGACACTCTCTCGCCCCAGCAGGGTGCTCTCTGAGACTGTGGCACTGCCGTCTTCTAACAGAATGAGAGATGAGTCGCTCTCGCAGATAGATTTTCAGCACTCAGACTAACAGTTACACACACACACACACACACACACACACACACACACACACACACACACACACACACACACACACACACACACACACACACGTCTCCTATACGTGAGCTCAGAGGCTCAGACTAAGTCCTGTGATGGAAAAGTAGAAAGTGTGAGACATATGAACAAGAATACTGTCTAGTTTTATCAACTAGCCTTTCAGATTCTTTTACATGGATGCAAGATTCATGTCTGGTCTTCATAAATAACATCACACAGATTACAGTCTGGACCTGCTCTATTTAGAACGTTTCCTGAGACTTTTTGTTATGACTTCTCATGGTGGATTATGGGAAAGTTGGTATCTACACAAGAGAGACAAAGATGTGTACCCACCCAGGCCCACACTGCTGTTCTCCAGCAGGTAGCTGAGGTGGTCGAACATGGCCTTCTGGTTCTGGCGGCTGATCCGGCAGAAGTAACACAGGAAGCGACAGCAGCTGGCCACCATCTTGGGAAAGGCGATTTCCTGTGGAAGGGCATATACAGACCAAGTGGGGTCAAATATATTTTTCTCGTTGGATTTTAAAACAATACGATTTGAGCAAAAACACAGCTAAAACTGCTTCACATTTGAAAAGAGTTAACAAGGACACATACATTATTTGACTTGTCTTTATGTGTGGACAAAATTGTCACTCTAAAACAAAACAAAAAGTATCAGTAAAAAAAAAAAAATGCATCTTCTGGGGTAATGTGCTTATTGTAATGACTTCCTCCTGTCTTGTTTCTGTGAAGCTCCCGGTATGTTTGGTGTCTAATTAACGTCTAAAAGGCCCGGCACCTTCACACACTAGCAGCCAACCAGCCAACCACAGACTGCCCTTCCTGCCCTCCCTCCCAGACTCCACTGCTGTCAGCCTGACGAGAAAGCCCACCTACTGGGACCACGTCTTCATTAACGCATGCTCACCCTGCGCCCAGAATTCACACACAATTGATAACAAGCAAAACTGGACTGAAACACAAACTTTTTAAATGAGCAACATTACTTCTGTTGAGGTGGAGCACTAAACCTCGAGGGTGCCTCTTTAGAAGCCTTAATAAAAAATAGTACAAATACAGAGGTTAGAAGTTGTTAAACCTGGGATTTGTCTCCTCCGAGCACATTGACCATGACCTCCATGACGGTCTCATGCATGCCCAGTATTCTCATTAGGTTGGGGTGCTGGTAGAACACTTTGTTGTTCATGATGTCGCTGTAAAGGAGGGGAAAAAAAACATGCATGAAACCTGAAAAAATATATGATTTTTAAAATCTTGAAACATTTAGACGACAACTCAAACATTTCAAACACAACCTACCCAAGCCCATCAATCATGAGCTTCTCCTCCTCTTTCCCCATACGCACAGACAGCAGAGATCGGATCTGGCCGAGGGAGGCCAGGAGGTTGATGGTGTCTTGGACCGAGACAGCGCTGATGGTGTAAGTCTTCCTCATCGCGCGGAGCAGTTCCCCGATGCTGTCGTACTGCCGCCTCAGCAGGCTGAACATCTTCCGGACCAGCTCAGGGTCCTGGATGAGACACTCCTGGGCCCAGCTCACCATCGTCTGGGAGATCAGCTCCTTCAGGTTGGCTGTCAAGACAGGTTGTTAAAGATTGTAAGATAACTCAATGATGTCCTTTAATAAAATGTCTTTTTTACTTCCTAAATATTCTATTAAGCACTTTAAGTTTAACCCTTATACACTTTATAGTTTATATCACTCTTATATTTGATGATCTGTTGGTGCTCTTCATTTTTATTCTTATTTAAACAACCTGACTCTCAATTTTTTGGGAATTAGAAAAGTTATACCTGAGCTTGTCTTCAATTCTTTTTAACCAAAAAGTGACTGAAACTAAACACTAATTCAAAAATAAAACAAAGGAAAACTTCTCTAACTGCAAATTGTCACAAACTTTCTGTTTAATACAACATATGTGCTTTAACCCTGGAAATGAACACATCAGCTTATATGTTGTATTGATTTAAATGTTTGAACAGGGTACATTATTATGACAGATTTTAATATTAAATTAGGTCTCAATGTGAGATTTGACCTTTCTTCAATTACATATTTATTAGAATTCCTAACGTTGCTTGTAAAAGAGTTGAGCCAGCGTGCACGGTTCATCTGCACATGTACAAAGTAGGGAAGGTACCACAGAACCTTCCCTGTCACAGAAACGCAAATAATAAAGACGGGTTTTAGTGTAAAAATGTTGGGCTTTGGGGCGCCTGTAGCCTAGTGGTTAGTGTGCACCCCCCATGTACGGAGGCCAGCATCCTCAAAGCGAGCGGCCCGGGTTCGAATCTGACCTGTGGCTCCTTTCACCCATACCACTTCCCACTCTCTTTCCCCACCATATCTGACCTCTCCATTGTTCAAAAATAAATCTTGGGCTTTTCTTATTTTCAACAACCAATTAGATTTTCCTTAAAAACAGTAAATGGTAGAAGTAGAAACACACAAACAAACACATACACACCTCACTCGCACGCACGCTTGCACGCACGCACGCACGCACGCACGCACGCACGCACGCACGCACGCACGCACACACACATAGACATGTCTATTAGATTGATGTTAAAATGGGACAACAGTTGACCGGGTGCTTCAATTTTTCTTCAGTTCAAAAGATGCATTTCTGAGTCTTTCTGAGCATTTCTGATTTGTAAGTGGCTCAGTGATGCAAATAAACCTTGGGCACACAAAAAACACAGACAACGCCTTCAAACTCTTTCAGTTGGTTTAATGCTTTTATGCTTTCCACCACCTTAACACGCCCGAGCTACTAAAGAGGAGGTAAAAAGCTGTGATTCAACAAGGAGTTATTCTCTACGTAAGAGAAAACACAGCATGCAGGTTCATTCATAAAAGACACATATTTTCAGCAGATCAGAAAAGAAAGTCCTGTTATGAAACAAATTAGTGAAGGGGAGTGGACACAGTATTAACTGTTCTGTACAGTATTCTTCTTCTTCTGTGGTTTGATTTGAGACATTTGTTTGGACAGCTCGTGGGAAGGGTACCCTGAAGGCTTCATTAAATCTGGATCAATAGGATGTGAGTTATTTGTGAGTCTGTTCTTTGGGGTCTGAATGCACAAAGGAGAGAAAGACATCAATTAAACAACTCAGAAGCATAAAAGATGGAGCCATTTATGTGCAATTGATTTCCTTACAAGAATTGCAATTAGCTGATTGCATTTTTAAGACCCTTGTGTCTGTTTAGTGATTGGATCTGTTGGTTTTTCAAAGACTGTATGACAGTCTGTATGTTTTTTTTTTTTTGTGTGTGTGTGAGAGGTGGAAGGGAGGCAGCAGAATGTCACAGTCAACCGTAACCAAGCTTTCCCTCGTGCAGAGTTGCGTGGGCGTCGGAGAAAGGGCACGAGTGTCAGCTTGTTCCAAAATGAGAAACAGCGCTTCTTCCTTTCAGCCAAGAGGCTTCACCTGACTCTCATTCTGTCACACTATCAAACACACTTGTTTGTTCCCTTTCTGTCGGTTCCACTCTTGAACACACCCTTCCAATGCTCTCCCCCTCGCTATCACCCCCCCCCCCCCCCCAAACCCATCAAATCTGACCGGTCCACAGCTTCATTGACTGGGAGCTGAATTATTCTAATATGACAGTTCCCACTTTGCTGTCTCACACATATTTCATCACCTCTGAGCATGAAATGCTGCTGGTGGATAAATGATTCATCACAGGAGAAGAGGATTCTTTCCTCCCTTCCTTTTCCTTCTTCCTGTGAAATAATAACTGAGACACAGGCCTTTTAGCATCTCCAACGTTTCACTGAGAGAGGGATGATGGGGGAAGAAATTACAGCTGGAGTAATGGTGCAGGATACATCATGCCATTGACACTCAAGTGACTCTCCTGCATCCTTGAAAACCCTCCTCTTTTCAACTTTGCAACAGATACTGAGCCAAAACTCACAAGCAAGTGAACTCACACATAATGGCTTTAATATAAGGATAGGAATGTCAGGCCACAACTTGGGTCCAAACTGAAGTTTCTCTTTTCAAGCTCTTTCACGACATTTTTCACACGATTTAATTTCTCCCTTACTATCAACAGTAAACTCTATATCGAGCTGATCCATCTGTTTTATCATTTCTATATGTCCAATACTTCTGGTAACGACCAAATATTTGCTTCTCAGCTGTACTTTGTGTTAAGTGCTAATTAGCATTGGTTAGCATGCTAGCATGTACATCCTAAATGGTGAACGACTTCTAAGATAAAGTCAACACTGCGTGCTAAGGATAAACTGTTTAGCATTGGTAATCTGAGGGTACAAGGACACTAATGTTAGCATTAAGTTAGTGGCACCGCATCACAGAGCTGCTGCCCTGGCTGTGGGTTGCTTTCTTATTATACGTGTTTGTTGTTGTTGAATGTGAAACACTGAGGCTGAATTTTAAACTGCTATGCAAAAGTCATAGAAAGGAAAACACCCTTCTTCTGGAAAAAAGACAAACAACTATGGCTCCCAAAAGCACTAGCACCAAGTCTTTATAGAAACAAAAATATTTTTAGCAGATAAAAGAATTTGGCGGTTTAGATTTTTCTATCGTTCAACTCGTTCCCTTGCTTTCCAACACTTGCAGCTGTTTCAGAAGTCAATGTGATGCTCCCCTGAACTGCAGCTGCCACCACCAACCAGCCTTCTAATCAATCAGCATTCACACATCACCCTGCAGGGACCAGTGGCACCACCACCACCACCACCACCACCCAGAGCACTATATAATACATACTCCTCTATTTTCATCTGGCCTGACGCCTGTGGTGTCTTATATGCTCCACATCAGGGTCACAACGAATCCCAGCAGGCGGATTGCCTTTCTGCACCTGCATTCCCCGACAAATATTTCAGCCCAGTTCTGTCCATGGGCGATTAGACCACAGTTCTGCTGTCAGTATTGCTACTGAGATTGATCAAAAGGAATAAAATACCGATGAAGGAAGACATATGAGTATTGTGTTATTGCCAGAAGAGGAACATTTTCAATCATACCTAGAGTAAATGAAAAATTGCAGCCATATATGGAGACGTACGCTTAGAAAGAAAACTGAAAACATCAAACAGTGAGACGCAGATTCACATAACACATAACACACTAAACTGAAAGCAAACAGAATCAAGAAAATATATTTTAAACCAGTAAAGTAATAACTTCCAATCAGCATCTTGATTGGCGTTCTCTTACACAGAATGTTACAAGAAAATGATCATTTACACTACAGTTACACCCCAGTCAGTGATTGCTGTGAATGCAATGGTTTAAGCTTTGTTTGTGTGTGCTCATCATTTTGTGCTGTGCAGGTATGTGTCTATGAGTTTCATCAGTTGAAGGATTTGGTTTTATAACCATTTTTTTTCTTCTCTCGTCTCTTTTTTTCCTCATCTCCCAGAGCCGCTGACGGAAGACACTCTCCACTCTAGAGCCTCTCCGCCACCCGGCTCCATATATTACCATAATAGAATTGAAAAGAAATTGAAATGGAAATGACTGCCACCCGATGACACAGTCCACATGACATGAGCAGACAAATAGACGCGAGCCTGAGGATGCTGGAGGTGCAAAAGAGGGGGCGCCTGTTTTCTAATCATCTCTTTAAGAGACAAACACGAATACAGAGCTTGTACAAAACGAGGTGAAGAGACCGTAAACAAGCAGAATGTAGTCATACATAAAGAGATAACGTGCAAACGCAACATTTGCTACTTCATGCAAAGTATTAAATGTTGTACAAGGCGTATAAAAAGAAACTTAACGTATTGCTAAGGGGCGATTATTTTGGAAGTTTAGACATTTTGACCTCGAGGTAGAACCTTATCAAGAAAAAAAGAGTAGGGCCTACATCTTTGACAGAGTTTTAACTGCTCTTGTGTTGTCAGTATGTTGCTATGATAACAAGGGCATATTGGATAAACAGTTTTTCTTAAAATGAACCTACACTGTAATAAATTCCTGTAAATGTGCAGTTGATTCCCCTCAGTATCCTCCTGTTTGTGAAAATAACTGTTGAAAATTCAGCGTTGGAGCGCCGATTAACCAAGCGGTTTATGTCGCGACCCCATTCACTAAGTCTAAAATCCTCGTCCAAGCGGCTGTGGGTTAAGATCCCAAGATGCTGCATGTCATCCCCACTCTCTCCTCCTAACATTTCCTGTCTCTCTTCAGCTGTCCTATCCAATAAAGGCCCAAAAATTAACGTTGGCATGTAGAACAAAATAAACATTAAATACTGTCAGTTAACAATTACACTAGATATCTTCATGTACTGTATAAGACATACTCCATTATGTCCATTACCATCTTTCCTTTGATGAAGGTTTATATCTATGGAATGATGATAGCTCAGTTTTCAGGAATGAAACTGCTCACAGTCGTCATTTCGAGTGACAGGACAGACTTTCCTGAACCTGGCTTTGGAGAGTTCAACAACATTTTACAGGTGTCTTACATTGTTGGTGTTTTTCTGCATAATTAAATGAAAACTTCCACATGATGATGATGATAAGACCTGGCTGCTTAAAGTGGCAAGGAAAGCCGTTGACCAAACACAGAAACAGATCAACAAGCCTTAGTTATGTGAGCTAACATCATAGAACAGCCACTTCTGCTAATTAAATAAGGGAACATTGAACTCAACTGAAGCTAGCAAAACTAACTAATGGCTAGATTTGAAATTAAACGTGATCACGTAAGCTTTAAAAAGCTTTCATCTACATCCTCGTGTCAATCAGAAAACAGCATCTAAATATGAGATGTCCCAAACCCAGGATTTATAAGCCTGTTCACTACTCATAGATATGATAAGAATAATAAGTTGAATTATAATAAACAGTGACTTTCTCACATGGTGCAGCTTGCTCCTTCTCTGTGGGCTCCTCTGCCTTGTGAGCCTGGCCTTTGATCTTGTTCACTAGCATTAAGAGGCGCCCTCTGATGGATGTAGCTTGCTCGTCCTCGTCTTCCTCCATAGGGATTCCTATACAGTACAAAAACAGATAAACATACTATATAAACATTGATATCAAAACTTATTAAAGCCATAACTCTGCCGAGCGTGGCTCCCTGTGGGGTTAGCAGTCACGTCATGTATATAAAGTGAGCAGTATGGAAGGGTACACTATCCTGCGTGTTATTGCGCTCTGTGTGGCGGGGGGCCATGACAGGTCGGGGCTTTGTGGCGCAGCTGAAACTGCCATTAGATCTGTTGTACCTCAGACAATTGGGTGATTCAATTATTTATCATAGCATCAACATGTCAGAGCAATCTGAGAGGCAGTGAACTGTAACTGCTATGCAGACACAGAGTGATGCAGAGGGGGAAAGAAAGACACCATTCAGAGCAATTACTGTTAGCAATGTTTACAGAACGGTTTGAAAAGACAAAATTAATAAATATTTCATTTTCTGTATATTTGCCATTTGATATCTGCCACAATATCCGTTACATACTGCACATTCAGCACGATAAGATAATTGGATCAAGTTTGATATGATTATGCATGTTCATTATTAAGATGTAGTTCCTTCATCTCACCACAGTGGAGCTGCAGCTGGGTGTGGAAGTCGTACAGTTCCTCCTGGATGTCTGTGGGACACGGACAGTCCTCGCCTGTACTAAATGTCAGCAGCATGTTGATCTAAAATGAAATAAAACATTTGAAATCAGACACTAAACCTGTTCCTGGTAATTACGTCCATCTTTAGTTTAATAGCAATCTCAGCTTGATGTGATCCAATTGCAGGATTATTGGAGTAAAAAAACAGCTTAATTCTGCCTCAGTGCTCACAGGCTGAAAGATGTTCTGACAAGTCATTAAAGTAGCAGTGAAGCGCTGAACTCCATCTCCTGCTGTGACCCTTAAGGGACACTGTATGTGTGTGTGGTTGAGCGTGCACTCTCACTGGAGCAATGACACCAAAGACAAGAAGGATGACTCGGCCTTGAAGCTTTGAACAACTCACATACAGACAGAACGAGTGCTTTCCGGGATAAGGACATGCTCTCGTTCACTCTGAAACCAAAACCAGGAAAATTCAGCAACACAGAAGCTTAAAAAAGGGAACCTGAGGTTGAGGAGAGAAACTGGCCATGTATGTGGGAAATTACTGAAGTTATATAACATCTCCCAATGAATGATCTAGTTACATGCATCATTTGAAGCATTGAGCCTGAAGGCTCTCTGTGTGGTCACATGTAATATATTTTGGGATTCATCACTGCTAATAGATTCGCTTCCTGGCATTTTCCACCATGGCTGATTTGCATTTTATTTTAAGTAACATGAGCATCAGCGAGGTCACATGCAAGACATATGAGAGATAGTCAGAGTTGCATGAACGGAGGTGTGAGATGTTGTGAAGCTGCCGGGTTAAGATGTCACAGCTGCGATGTAAGTGAGTGAAAAAAGGTACTTCCATGTGACCCACAACAATCTGTGTCAAATCAATATTAAACCTGTTGGGAGTTTTATTTTAACTGGTTTTCAAATGGTGCTTTGTCTGTAGCTAATCGTCAAAAACGTAAAATAATACCTATTCTCTGTCTTTACAAACATTAACACATTAATGTTTCTGTGCAGATTTTTATAGATTTTTTTCACATAATGATCCTAAAGTAAAGAGGTTCTTCTCAGGAGTGAGTGTGTTAGCTTCTTTGCAGCTGCCAGGTTCTTACAAATACCATTTCCATTTCTATCATTCCTCCTCACTCGTTCGTGTTTGAAGTCAAGCATCCCCCCTCCCCCCCAAACTGAGTACTTGTAATCCTCCAAAACAAGGGAAATCACCTGTTTGAACGTGAAGGGCTTTCAAGTGTGAAAACAGTAATGAGTTTACAATTTTTTTTAACAAGAAAGCCAATCTCAGGATCCATTTGTGTATGTTACCTAAATTAAAATATGTTCAAAGCTTGATTTCCTCTTTTATTTACCGTATTGGCCTGAATAAAAGACAGGTTTTTTTTCCTTGAAATACACCTAAAAAGAAGTGAGATTGTATTATATTCAGGGTCTAGATGTTTTAATGTCACGACAATTTCACAACTGGACCACTTAACTGTAAAGTAAGTGTGTCTGTGTATACCGATCAAGAATGAGGCCAGCCGTCACTCACAGCTGCTTTACCAGGGAGAGACACGGGGATCCTTTGGAGCAAAGCATGCTATAGGTCAAGTTAACTGACAACTGAGGCGGAGTTATGATACCAATATGAAGATAATGATTATCAATGCAGCATCTGAGATCGATTAACTAGTGGACGATCAGCACTCGCTCTCTACCATGCAGACACATGCTGCGCTGGTCTAGGCAGTCAGAGAGAGAAAGACGCCCGCTGATAAGTCTCTCGTTAAAATGCAAGGAATATTGTGCAACAGAATCGTGAGTGAAACTGCCACGCTGCTGTGTTTATGTGTTTAGCCTATTAAAGAGAGGAGAGGTGCTTGTGTGTGAATATGAGAACTGCAGGGAAGGAAGGATAGCAAATTAAGGTAATTTGAGGGGCATTAAAATCAAGTTAGAGTTTAAGCATCATGTCTTTATGTATTTCTTGACATATTTTCAATGGATGACCCCCTCCCCCATCAACGCTGTCCAGATTTACAGCCATTCTGTGCTAAATGCTCATATGTGACAACTGAATAAAAATGATTTTGAAAAATGTTATTTGTGTAAATCACCAACCTAGCTATTTTTTTCAGTATTTTTTTTATTATCATTATTTGCAAATCAAGTTGTTTTCCTTACAAACACAACATTTGCACTTCTTAAAGTATTTTTCTAAACATGTATCTTGAAAAGGGGGGCTCTCTTGTCTTATGTTCGCACCAATACGGTATTTCCTAAACAAAATGAAAAAGTACTTTTAGATGACTCATACATTTGTTGCTTGATTTAAATGTTTACGTATGATGCAGTACAGAACAGTATTTCAATAAATGTAGTGACAGTAACTATAGCATTTTTTTAGGGTGTCGTAAAAAAGGTCAATATATTAATGTGCGCTGAAAAGTGTAAACAAGGTTTTGAGAAAATGATTATACCACGACTGGCTAAGGTGCTGGAAATAATAGGTACCCAATGGTAGATTTCAGTGGCTGGCACAACGATAAACGAGCTCATCAGGTTATACAATGTTTCTGACCTTTCTGATATCCTTCCCAGCAGCCCTGCAGTGACTGCAGCCTCGTCTCACCTGTTCTTGAGGGGGCGATCTGAACTCTTTGGTCTTCTTTGCGGTGACAGCAGCAGACATGTTGAGGGCCAGCATTAGCTCGTTGTAACGGAACTTCTGGTTGTACTGCAGCTTGGAGACGAAGTTGTCGGAGAAGGACACTATGGCCTCGATACGGTGCTTCAGCTCACAGTCGCAGAAATAGTGAAGCAGCTCGCACATCTGGGGAGCAGACGAGGGAAAGAATCAAAAGACAGATACTTTAAAATCTCAGTGATGAGACTAGCAGCCGTATGGCTTCACGATGTCCGGCTCATTATAGAGACATTTTAAAAAGGCGATCATGTGTTTAATATGAGACGCAACCATTTTATATGTGACTGATTCCTGAATAGGTCTTTAGCATCTGATCAGTTGGGAAAATGTTCATTGATTCTACATTCACCTTCTGTGGTTTACACACAGATGAATCCAGTTGGTGCATACTGTAAGTGCTCATAGTTACCTGTCTTTTAACAGGCTCAGGTAACCTCTTCTCTAGCAGCCCCTTCATTGGTTGTTTTGCCTCTTTGGCTGCTTCCTCCTCTCCAGCCTCCACTGCCTTCTCCTCCGCCCCTGTGAGTCCTTCTTTGTCCGTGGCCCCTGTGGGCCCCACCTCACGTGTCTCTCTGAAAACATTTGGGTCAATGAGCAGCAAGATTTTATGGACGTCCTCACTACCCAACACGCCCATAGTCAGCAAAGTGCTGATGAGTTTCAGGATTGGCACAAACTGGTACTCCACACCTCCTCCTACAGGGTCTCGGATATGGTGCCCCCCACCCTGAACAGCCTCCGTCAACATTATGATCGCTTTCTCCTTCAGAGCGTCTAGTGGGATTTGCGGACTAAAGAGATGCTGTTCCTGTTTGGTGCTGATGAAACAGGGTGGGGCAAAGTTGAGGCGGGGTTTGAGGGAGGTGCTTAGCCCCACCCCTGGCGGGAGGTGCTTCTTGGAAGCATCCGAAAAAAGCCGAATGGATCGTGTCTCAGGCGTGACAGGGATGATGAACTCATCTTTCATCATGAGCCGCGCCTCTTTGGCTGTCTCCAGGTGAGTGCTGATCAGGACGCTGTAGAAACCCTCGCGTAACATCCCAGATAGGTACTGATTGTCGATGGTGTATAGCAGCTGCGATTGGTCGAGGTGGCTGCAGAGGGCATGGGCTACGCGGGTGTTTCCCAGAGCGCAGAGGGCGCAGTAGAGCTTCAGGGTGTGGTAGTGGAACTTCTTCATGTCCTCCTGCTCGGACAGCTCCATGATGTCGACACACCTAGCGAAGGAGACGCGAGAGAGGTTTAGCAAATTCCACTCTGGATACTTAAAAACCACACAGGATGTATAAAGTGTAAAAAAGACAAGTTGTGCTTGTATTTCTTTTTTAGAGTGTAGGAATATGATTTTAGACATATGAAGAGGTAAAGAGAAGTGAAAGAAATTCCTAGATTTTTTTTTGCAAAACTAAGCAGTGTTAACGTGGAACAGTTGCAGGGAAAGAAGCCCATATGTTTTTGAATAAATATGCAAAACTGTTAGCTGAAATATCCTATATGTTTATAGAATTGAATAATTTGAATTGGCATTTCCTTAAAAAGTCTATAAGATGCAATGATTTGTAAGTGACTAGAGTATTTTAATGATGCATGAATGAAGTTTAAAGATTTTTCCATAACTGCTTGTTTCCCATGTGTGGGTAAAGACATCAAAGAAACAGTCAAAGTGCAACTACCTATTCAAGACTAGGGCTTGGGCCAACTGGGCCGAATTAGAATTGAGCCTTTATACTACACTGGGCGGCTGTAGCATAGTTGTAAAGCGTATCGTCTTCTAATTGAAAGGTTGCCGGTTCGATCCCAGCTTCTACACTCTACGGGTCAAAGTGTTCCAGCCAAGACACCTCTACTGAAGTCATATTGTGTGTGTGTAGTCTATGGTATGAATGAGGTTAGTTAGATCATAATGGGTGAATTGGCACTGTGCATAGCAGCCTCAGTCATCAGTATGTGTGTCAATGTTGGATGTGACATAAAGTATAATGAGCTTTGAGTGTTCTGAAGATTACAAACACAATGCAAGTGAAGTCCATTTTACTATTTCAATTAAGCTCATAACCTCCTGATGGTGTTTCTTGTGAGGCAAGAAAGCAATCTAAATAATTTTTCCTTAAAGTGTTGTGTTTAAAATCAGCTTAGAGCCACTGAATAGATGATAGATGGATCATATAAGCCCAGAAAGCCATGTAAAGCACCTGTTCTCCTCAGGTATATGCACAGCCAACATCTGCAGGGGCTCCACACACTGCACCATCCAGCCGTGCCTCTCGCTGACTCTGGCTGTTTCCACTTTGAGGAAGGTGTTCGGCATGCGGCTCCACAGCACGGCGTTGATGGTCTGGACATCTAGACGGGGCGGACACTGAGGCACGGGGTTCTTATGCTCACTCTTGAAGATGGCTGACGACAAAGGCATGGCGATCTGGAGAGGTCACACACAGATGGATATCACAATTTTGCCTCCACACTCTTACATTTTGTCACAGGGTCAAAGACGCACCTTTTCCTACTCTTAAAGAGACAGTCATTTTGAGTAGCATGAACAGATGATACTAGAATGCTTAAATATTAGCCTTGCAGATGTAGCTGGAGGGGTTTGCTACATAATCCTGTGTGAGGGCTGGATCATTGAACACAGTGTAAGTTTAAAATAAGCTACTGAGAAAAGATTCAAATGAAAAAGAGCATGCTGTGAGCGGCAGAAATTACATTTCCTCTTACCATTATTGTGTGCGTTTGCAGGATTTTATTGTTATTGCATTGCAGACATCATACTACGAACAGGGTTGCTGTAACCAGACAATAAGAGGACTCTACCTTTATTTTAGCCAACTCAAATTGGAAGAGGTTAGGGCTTGTTGGCTGCACAAACACGGCAGGGAATAGCTTGGTGTTTGGTTCCACCTGGAGCAGAAAAAAAAGAAGTACACATCAAAGCTTGAGGAGCAGTGAGAAAGCATGACTTGCGGAAAGCAGCTTAATGATGCATCATGAAACTCCACCACAGTGCTTATCGTGTGCCTATAGTGTGTGTGCATGATCATTGGAGGGTGTCAGCTGGCAGGATGACTAAGCACTGGGTGAAGCGTCACAGAGTTTCAAGTGAGGGAGAACATAAGAAGATTATAACCTTTCAAAGGTTCTGTCAGATTTAGCTCTCAGAGTAAATCTTTAAAGAGGAAAGTCTGACGTTCAACAATTCAGACGTCACAACTCCTGTTCAGGAAAATATGCAAAAGGGAAGATGGATTTTCTGTGTTAAATCCTTAAGTAATTCTGTACCTGATAGGACGTGGATATCTCCTTCCCGTTGACAGTGAACGTCAGCATGCCAGTGGCCAGGTCTATCAGACAGCCGATCTCCAGGTCCACGTTGGTGCGACTTGAGGCGTGAGCAGCATTTGTCACATCACCACCCCACACCATGTAGCAGTTACTCCTCCTCACACTGTCAGAGAGTGAAAAACAGTGATTCATCTTGTCTTAACATACATTTTGATTGAAATAAAGGCTGCATCTAGCTTTCAAAAGCATAACTTCCACGGGTTTTAACACTCTATAACAACTGTAATAACTAACCCTGTTATAAATTGTGCAAATAAGCCACTCAGGCAAACTATCATCCTTTCACTGCTTCTTAAAAAATTAGAAACTGAGAAGCAACTGGAGAATGATGAAAATGAACAAAACAGCTAGCACTCAACCACCTTAAAGCTAATGAGTTAACTAGAAATGTATTATTCCTATTAACACTGCAAATGTATGTCTCTCTTATTGTATTGTGTTACACAACCAAAGGGCAATGTTAGCTTCCAGCTAACTCCTAGCTAATGCTAATATTAGGCAATGCTAATGTTAGGAGATGCTTTGTTAGCTGTTTGACAGCAGCTAATCAGTTTTACAATCTCAAATGACATTTTTGACTTTTCCTTACTAATTCAGAAGCAGTAAGAGGACAAATGTTTTGTCAGATAATGTAAGTTTATAAAACCTACAACCATACACCTACATTAGTAGTATGACAGTCGGCTATAGCAGCATTTAAGTTTCCAACATGTCACATTACATCAAAGGAAAATGGCCGCTGCATGAAAATGGTTAAATACTCACCTCTCATGGACTCGTCCTCGCTCGTCCCCCAGGGTTACAGTGACTGTTCGGTTTTTACTGAGGTTGAAGTTGTTGCTGAAGTAATGGTAGTCGGGGGTAACCCATCCTACCCACACGCCAGCAGGGTCTTGACCAGCAAAGACCCTTACCGAGTGGTAGTACTGTAATAACACATGCAAAAGTTAATACTACTGAAGGTGATGCACCCAAAGGCTACTTTAAAAAAAACTGTTATTCATTACCATAGTGATGCTGCCATAGTCCACTCGTCTGCTTTCCTCACTGTGCCTCACAGATCTCAAAGGATATCTATGAGGTAACACATGATAGGGTCAACAGGTGATCGAGTACATACAAAATGTTCATACATTTTTTCAGCTTGACTGGCTGAGTTTAGACCAAAGCCAAAATAAAGCATCTGAACAACCGAACATCTTGACCTGCATTATCATTATTAAAAATATATTTGTTTTGCTAAATGAAACTGAAATTCAATGTCAATTATCCAATATGGGAACAGCTAATACACATGGTGGATATTATGATAAGGAAGCAGTTGCTTTCCATGTGGCTTTAATTTATCATTTTGAGGATGTGAGTACCTGTGTTTGACTTTAAGTGTATCTTCCTCGTGGACTCCGTTCATGTCCACAACAGGATTTGTTTTGAAGACAGAGTGGAACTCTACAGGCATGCTTAGACGACAGAACACCATATCTGCGTTACTGTTCTGGGTGCCAAAAGACTTGTGGGTGACTTTTAGACATGGTGGGCTGTCGACAGTTCCATCAATCCTGGTCACCTGCAAATCAGAGGAAAATCTTTGCCTCAAAGCAATGTCCAACTTTGACAGTTTTTTTTTTAGAGCAACAAATCATTTCTCTGCTTTTGTTCTTACTGCTATGTGGTTGTGGTCCTTTGGCACGTTGACAAAAGTAGGCAGACGCTTGCTGAACCACATGGTGACCTCTCGGTTCATGTTGACAGCGAACGGTTCGAACCCTTCCTGGAGGCCGCACATTGTGTAGTACTTAAAGGTGCTGGCATCTTTCCCCAGATTCATACGCCCCACCTGAGCGAGCCCGAGGCTGCACACTGGAATGAAGCCTGAAGGACAGCCAGATGAAGAGAAGGAGTGAATAAGAAGGCTCTTAGAGTGCACACACACAGCAGGACTCGGGGGGAGAGGGGGGGGAAATCAATCCAGCTTTTTCAAAAAGCCAATCTACGAGTGTCACATTTAATAAGGGTGATTTTGTTACAGGGGGCCACTTATTTTTCGCTTATATCTCCAGTGTGGTCATTCTGGGTTACTGCTCCCTGCTCTGTCTGTGAAGACTTTATTAAAAGATGAGTGACCAACAACTCTTTCTACAATCACCTTATCAGTGTCACACTCCCTGACCCTAAGCATCTGGCTCTGTTAGCACAAAATGATGTATCTACATTTGCACACTGAACGCTTTCTCACCATCTTCGGTTTCAAAGTCTGTAAAGCAGAGTTCAGATCCCTTGGTGGTGATGAGGATCTCTCCGTTTAGGGTGAAGATCATAGACTTGTCCTCCATGTTGATCATACAGCCCACCACGTCGCCTGCATGCCAGCACCGCCCGAACAAACGGCTGCCCATGTTCAGACAGTGACCCTGTATTTAGAACATGTACAATGATGAAATAAAGAGCAGCTCATAAAATGCATTATTTGGAGAAAAAAAAAATTCATGTTGCTCTCGTAATCTTTTGTCTTGATACGATACTTTTCCTGAAATCTTTCCAAAACACTTTTCATCTGTTTTAAGAACCTCATTCATACAGAAAGGTAAAGGGTAAACAGCACACTCACATTGAGTTGAGAAATAAATCTAGATTTAAGGTTAGGTAAACAGCTTACCCTGTATCCATCAAACACAAAAGCAAGCTCATCCGTGCCGAGCTCCACATCCGGCTTACATCCAGGCCTGGCCCAGCCCACTCTCATGTCCCCCCCAGTCACGGCCTCAAATTCAAAGTACCATTTCCCGGTCTTCACGGCATATGTCCTCTCCACTCTGAAAAAGCGGATCTTGTCAATGCTGAGCCGCTCGACCACTTGTCCTAATGGATGGAAGGGACAGCAAACACATCAGTATGTAGACTGTTGATCAAAACCATTAAAACCCCTCCAACAAGACAAAAAGTCACTGGGGCGAGGTTGAATACAATCACTTAATACCATCATTCCTCTGCACAGCAGCCTACAGGGAGGTGTAGTACAGAATCCCTTTTCTTCATTAAAATATGTCACACTTTTCAAGAAGTGTTTCCCCCATTGTTTTGTGACAAATATTAAATTATTATCTCTATAATTTCTAATGTCCGTGCATTTCGTACTCACCACCTTCCTGGTCCGAGGGCTCAATGTTATATCCGTAGCCAATCAGAGTGCGAATAGCCTCCCGCAGGCTGTCCCTGTTTGACTTCTTGGTCCGCTCGTCGAGTAGCACGTAGGGAACCAGACGAGGGTTACGTTTACTTTTTAGATCCTGCAGGGAGGAGAGGCGGCCAGAGAACATTTCATGAAGCCCCTTTGCAGTAAACATGCTGAAACCATCTCCGGTTCTCTCTAAATTGTAAGCCGGCTTAATCGAGCCATTTCAATGCAGAACTGTTGTGTTTGTAATAACTGTGCTGTCAGTCTCTGTAATTGAGATGTTAATTGGCTATTTAAATTCTATTGGACTAAGGCTGACTATTACTTCCTCCATCGTCACTGTGTCATTTCCCGTAGCAGTATACTTATTAATACCACTTAAGCTCATTTGTGGAGCTTAATTTGAAATCGTGTGCTGGTTATGCGAGATCAAAGGCTGTTAATTTGGTTTGACATAACAGCTTCCCCTGACGTTTCTACGAGGCATAATTCACAACCATGTGGCATTGTCCCAAAATGCTGGTCGGTTACCTGTAGAGCTCATGTTATCAAATGCACCTCATGCTCTGCAAGTGTGTACTTGTGCACACTGCGTCCACGTGTAACTGTATATGTAATGTTTTAAACTGCAGTGCAAGGACAAATAGAAAAAAAGTTTACTTAATCAAAGAGGCAACCTCCCCTGTTGAAATATTAAGCCAAAGCTGAAGTGCAAAAGACAGCCGGTCCATGAGTGAAATAGCTAACCACAGTCCTTACTTTAGCCACCTGATGAGGAGGTGTTACAGCCGCACACTTTTGATAAAGCATTCACAGAGATATCGACTTCAATAACTGAAGCATAATTTTTATCAAATAAAACACAATCAAACATATCATTTTGTCTGATTAACCAGAGATGGGACAGCGGTGTTCAAATCCATGGACTGAATGAAATGAAAAGTGATTGTTACATATCACTCTGTGGTGAGAGCATTCCACAAGTCTGTAGTGACAGCCATTTTGTCAAAACGTTGCAAATCATCTTCATAACCCCTCTTTACAAACAAATGGGTGACATCACAGAGACAACGTCCCTGTTTTATAGTCTATGTTCACAACTTTAACTTTTCCTTATCTCGACCCATACATATGTTCACAGATCAACGTTTATATAAAAATGTCCCCTACACAATTTAAGCAAAACTGGGCCAAATGAATAAGCCTTGGCTCACTTTATGAAGGAAGATTTGTTACAATTGGGGACAATTTTGCAGGATGTATCAAAGTTTTTCCATCAATGTCTCGAAAACAAAAACCATAAAAACATCCATCCTTTTATAAATCTATCCACCTCTCGACATCTATGACTTGTCCCGTCTTTACAGGATTAATCTCATAATGCACTGACATGGCATCAGTACCGATATATGCCAACGCCTGAGTAACACGAACAGTCAGAGTGCGCAGTTTTACAACTTGTTCTTTCATCTGATGTAAAGAGACATTGTGTATCCAGTGTGTTCCGTACAATATGTTCTTTGTCGTGTTGCCCTTTAGTGCAGAACGTCTTGCTGCATATTGACTGAAGGCATACAGCTAAGAAATGTCAGGCCAAACAAACTGTCCCACATGTGCACAGGAAGAGTATAGACTGTATGAGGAGGTGCATTAATGAAGCATGAAGGAGAAAGTGAGCATATGAAAAATACAAGAGGAAAGTTGGAAACAAAGAAAGAACACATCGCTTCTTTTTCTCTGTATCATACAAACACTAAGTTTTTTTTTGAGAAGTTAAGTTAAGAATGCCAGGCACTTTTGGAGTTTTTTTGCAACAAATTAATTGTTTTACGCCCAGCATACCATACATGAACACATTCTGTCTACCTGCTGAATGCCATAGGTCCAGCCCTGTTTGATGCGGTCCTTGGCCCACACATTGTGTGCATTCTCTGCCAGTTTGTCCACCAGCAGCTCCTGACTGGGAGTCAGTTTGATATCAGACAGGTCCAGAGGACACGGCTTGTAACCATTGGACATCATGAAGCTTCAGATAAAGAAAAAAAAAGTTATTTCTGTTATGCAAGAAGTAAAGGGTTAATCTACAGTAATGTAGATCTGTAGCTTAATATAACTCTTTACTGTACATCCTGTTTGTTAAGACTGGATTTCCAACAGACAGCTTTCCAACAAACAGTGTGAAATTAACTACTTTTAAACTAGTACGTTTGTTCTAATGAAACGTCTGCATGCACACTTACTTTTTGGGGAGCTTGATTTTTTTGAGGGAGCTCTCAGCATTTGGATTGACCTGAACTACCCGACATCCCAATGCCAGCAGGGTCCTGTACGAGGAAAACAACACACAATAAGTATAAAAATAGACAGCATGTCTTCCTCACAGTGACATTATAGTTGATTGGACAGTACATGTAACAGAGGGGTTTTTGTGTGTTCAAATGGAGCAGTGCTAGGTTAAATTGTGCATGTCCTGATCCATTAGGAGAAACCAGGCCAAGAATATCCAGAGGAAAGCGTCGGCTGTGAAGTGCCTTTGACACATTTTTTCCACACCTTCTGAGCAGACAAAGTGGCAGAAAAAAAACAAGCTTGATGTCACTCAGAGAGACATCAGCGTCACACAAATGTTTCTGTTACACCCTCACATCAAGATTAATCACAGCAGACCTCCACTCTGTCCTCTACCATTTAAGCAAAGCAGTGACGTAAAGCCTTTATAAAGACTTTCACTGGGACCTTGATAAACAAGAGAACATTGTGATGAGCTCTGACGAGAAGAAGAAATGAACTTGGTTGGAGCAGCATATGAAAAGGAAAAATTCTTAATCAAGAACTCAGGGGCATGTCTTTTCTTCATAAGTTTGTGCTCCTTTAAATAGACAGGAGCTTTTGGTGTGTCCTTTGTTGGATTAGAATTCAACAACATTTTCACTGATTCAAACTCAAAGGTGAGGAAGGGAACCTTTTTCACTGCTTGGCTTTGGCAACAGAAATGTACATCTTATTTAAGGAGGTTAAAACTATCCAGTTAATTATATTGTATTTTGATAATAAACGTTTTACTGATTACTTACATACAACAACTCGTGTGCTCTGTTATTTGTCCTGCCGCTAATGCAGATAAAAAGAGATATGTGTAAGACCGACTGAACGGTTCTCATGTTCTCCTCCCCGTGCATGCATGGGTTCTCTTCGGGTACTCCGCCCTCCTCCCACAGACATGCTCCTTAAGGTTAATTGGTGACTCTAAATTCCAGTAGGTGTGAATATGAGTGTTGCTGGTTGTCTTTCTCTAGTCAGCCCTGTGATTGACTGGCGACCAGTCCAGGGTGTACCCCGCCCCTAGCCACATGACAGCTGGGATCGGCTCCCCCTCGCAACCCCAAACGGGAAAAGAGGTATAGATAATGGATTGATAGTGCATTCATATTTTAATTTTCCAGCTTTGGACCCATGCATTAGTAATTTTAACTGATGATTTTCACAACAAATGCACTGAACGGTACATAAATATTTGGTAATATAACCAAACTGTGGGTTCACATGTTAGTTCTTACTGTTCTTCTGTGTAAGTAAAACATATGGGCCTTGCTAATGCTCTTACAGGCTACAGCAAACACAACAAAACCAATCTTTTCTTGTCAATTTTCTTTGTACTGAATCCGTCTGTGTCTCCTCTGGGCTCAGTCACACGAGCTCCCTTTCTTCTTCTTTTCCAAAAACTACAGCATAGTGGAGAAAATAATCCCAAAGCACGGAAACCTACTTAAGAGTTTCTGTTGACATCTGCAGGTTGTAGTTCTTTTCAGTTTCTGGCAGCTTGGAGAAATCGACCAGGCAGGGGTGCTGCCGCTTATTATCATCCCTTATCTAGAAAGAAGAAAGAAGAGCCACAGGAACAATATTTCAACTTTCCTTTGTTGCCCGCAACTTTGCTCCACAACAGTGTTATACTGTATGCATGTGGGAAAGTTGACTAAATATAATGCAGAATGAAATACACAGCCTTGTAAATCAGTGTTATTGTGCCCCATCAAGGAGGGGGGGGGAATGTGCTGTAAATACAGGCTGCAGTGATAAGACAGTCTACTCTAGTGAACATGTTATGAAAGAGGAAAAAGGGAGCATGTTTTCTTGGGGGAGACGGAAAGGTGCACAACAGGAATACCAAGTGAGAGGTGTGACTCCTCTCTCAAGGCTGCACCTTAGGCCAAATAATCCCTTTGGCTATGCTGCTCAGGGGAGGGCGGCATGGCAATGGGGGATGTTTACCAAGAAAACATGCAGGGGCTGTGTACTGATATGCAGCTGTGTGTGTGTGTGTGTGTGCGTGTGTGTGTGTGTGTGTGTGTGTGTGTGTGTGTGTGTGTGTGTGTGTGTGTGTGTGTGTGTGCACGTGTGTGTGCACGTGTGTGTTGTGTGTGTTGTGTGTGTTGTGTGTGTTGTGTGTGTAGGTTCAATGAACACAAGCCAGCTCTTTTGTGAATAGTACAAGAACTCTACAGGAAATCTATTTCTCTGGCAGTTCCTTGTCCAACGGATTTACATTTGTGGAACACACAGCAAATAAATAAAAAAGATATTTTTATGCATCGACTTATCCAGAACAAATATTGCTGTGCTTTTCCTGAATGACACCTACTTTGAATGCTGCTGTAATTGATAGCAATAAATGACAATAAAAACAGCACAGACCGAGCTGCTGTCTGAAAATGTACAGAGCGGCTAAATATGACACAGTGAAAGAGCCTTTGATTCCCTGAGTTAAATCAGGGAAAACTTTTAAACAATTAAAATTACGGCTCTGCATAAAGTTCAGCAGTTTGCGGTCATAAAATCTTAGATACAAATGTTTGTATTATAGACATAAGAGCTGCGTTCCAAAGTGTTTGCTATGTAATCTGTTCCTTTAAGGGCAAGACAGTCATGTTTGTTTCATCCTTTAGCTAATGCAGCGTGCAATAAACCAGATGTTTGCAAGGGGGAAAAAAAGGTCTAATGAGCAGTGTTTCTTAACATATAACAGAAGGTGTAATCTGAATCAGATATACTTTATCTCCGGGGGAAATTCTATGTAAATAAAACATACAGATGAAAGATTTATATGCGTGAGTAAGCCTGGGGGATAAAACAATAACAATAATTATCACAATATAAATGATTATCGCAATATAATATGATATTTTCGACCTATTAAAAGAGCCAGGATAGCTATTTTTCACTGCTTCAAGTCTCTGTGGTAAACGAAGCTAAGCTAAGAGAGTGTTAATGATCTTCTCTTAGAACACTCTGAAAGAAAATCAACAAGCATTTTCCCCAAAATCTCAGGCTACTACTGGAGTTCTCTAAAAAGTGACTCAGTTAAATGTCCTTTAAAAGCAGAACAAACTAAACGCAGACTATTAAAACGCATGCTTTCCACCTGGTTTATTGCCACACTTTTATTGCTCAAACACGCTGCTCTGCCCTTTAACGAAACAATACTTTGTAATTCATGACATATATCAAAGACACAGACACAATGACTCCGCTACCTACAAACAGCCTAGAATGAAGCGTCTAATTGAATGGCATGAAAAGCTTCAAACATGGAGAAATGAGAGTGTTCTTTCCACTTACCCTCTTTTTGGTGTGAACCGCAAATTATAAAAGAGAAAGCAAGATGACGTACAGGCTTTGGATGGTTAAATTTGAATACTGCTAACAACTAACGCATTTCAAGCTGCTTTTAACTCAGATCTCTTCAGACAGTGTGTTAACTACGATGTTTATCTCTCTACAAAAATGGCAAAATGTATGGATTATGCTTTTTGATTCATTTTTTTTGTATCGTCTAATAAGGAAAGAGAAATTGAGCACATTTCTCACCTTGCCGTACGACCAGCCAAGCTCAATTTTATTCATGCCCCACAGTTCATGGATGTTTTCAGCCAGCTTGTCTCTGACTTTTTCTAAATGATGTGGCATAACAATCTGAGGAAGCAGGCATGAAAAAGTCAGTCAGAAGGTTATCAACAACCTACAGTAGTGTTAGGAGTCGGCTCTCTATTCTCCTCCTGTTTGTTTACCTGGCTGGTTTCAACAGGTGTTGGGATGAAGGACGCCTGCGATAAAAACTGTGCGGTACCCAGCAGATCTCTGACTCCATTCACATCCCTTTTGTACTCCTTCACTGGCTCCACCTTCATCTTCTCTTTGGGCAGCAGAGCTTCGTAACAAGGAGCGTAACTGGATGGAGGCAGGAACTTAAAGTCGCCATGCCGACCGCCCAACAGGAAACGCACTCTGAAGAGACAAAGTGTTGATTATGAGTTGGCTTATAATGTTATTCTAAGCACATAAGACCTTGGAGAAAAGGTTAATTAAGTGTGTGTAAATATAAACAGTTTATTTGATCATGAGTGATAATCAGACAGTTATTAATGAGTGAAGCAGACAGTCAATTTGAAAGCATCCATGCAGCCAAGAGTAACTTGCTTTTCCGCCTCCTCAATCAGTTCCAGCCTCTGCACTAACAGGGACAAGTTTAGTTCTGAGACTGAAATAAAAAATAAAAAAAACCCGTCTCAGGCCATCACTGTGAAGAGGCTCTCCTGAGGCAGCCCAAAATAGCTGCTCAAGTAGTAGTGATGACGCAACCCGGGCCTGTTCTGACTGCAGCCCTCAATTATTGAGAAGTCAAGATGTGTGTGGCTGTCATCTTCTGGCAAGTTTAAATCCACTGGGATGTTCACCCTGTTCAGTGGGTCAGATTCGAGAACAAGCTGCGAGGTGTCGAAACCCAAACGACAGTCTTCACACGGGGTCACTCTGTTTGATTGCATATTGTTAACTGCATGACATGATTAAACACACAGCACCCGTCTTGTAGCTTGGGTTTAGGTATTTTACATTTTCTGGACTACATACAACAAAGCTTATGATAAAATAATGAAATATATTTTTAATTTCAACTCTTGAATTTTAGAAAGAAGCATCTGGACTCCACATCTGTACCATAGAAGAATCACGGTTAACACATCCTCTGAGTGAAAGGCGGAATTTACAGGGACAGAGATGGCACTGCAGGGGAACTTTAAGAACAGAAGAAGTGTATGGAAAGCTTAAAGTGCAACTCTTCACCAACATTTCTCAGCCTGTTGAAAGACTGTTTTAATTGGAAAAACACCACACTTTTAGAGCTGACTGGTCACTCTTGTGGCTACTACGCTAACAGTACTCCACTTTAAAAAAAACAACTATCCCTTTAAGAAATAGAGACTTAACGCTAAGCAGTTTTATATACTCATTCCAACACCTTGGAAATCAAAGGTTTTTGGAAATCAGAGAGTTTATATAGACTCTTTTAATAATCCTGTATCATATGTTTCAGTTACAAAAGACTCTTATAACAGCCTGTCCTAACAGCATGTGATTAGAACGAGTGTCAGCGACAAATCAGCCTGATTCTATAGTTTCCTATTGGAGAATCCTAACTGCTAGCAAGTGAACTAGCTTGAAGCAGCTCTAAGCGGTGCTACCTTTTTCCCCCCTGACCCTGCCCTGCTTTGACTTGTGTCAGCAATAAGAAAACCTTTTTTTATGGTGCACCGCGAGCCGACTAATGCCGAGCTTCTGAGAGTTGGGTTTTGAGTCAACAACTAAAATTCACAGAGATAAGAATTATATATTTAACGGATGTTGCGTAGACAGCCAGCATACGATCATGCGCGATGCGACGCTATATATAAAGCTCGTGTGCTGTTAGGACACAGTGAAAAAGGAAAAAGTTTATTGGTCATGGTCTGATCGGTAGACTATACTAATAACTTGTTACTTTTCAACAACCTCCTGCAAATATAAATTTACTACACTAGCCTGAGAAACAATCAAACAATATACATGGTTAGCATCAGTCCATTAGCATTGTTATTGTGGGCACATTAGCATTTAGCTTGCCTCAGTTCTCACACCTACAGAAGAATAACTAATATATTTGATAGAAAATTACACGTTGCTGTCACACTTTTGAGTTCACCCTGACTCCTCTAAAAAAAATAACATTTCTTGAATCACTTATTGCTCCCAGCTCCCACTACAGTTCTCATAGCCCATCAGGTATGACAGTGCTTTTCGAGAATTCATTCTCATCAGGAAATGAAGGCTGAATACACTTTCAAAGAGCAAACATGACTGAATAAAATCAGGCTCCTGCGTCAAGTGTCTCTGGGCTTCAAAAAGTAAAAGCTGTTAATGCAAAACACAGCTTTGCTCTACAAAGTCGGAGTCAATCATGAAATCATGGAAAAGCTGCTGGAGCTTGAAATTCCATTTTGAAGTCTTGTCAATCACACTATCTGCGGTCACCATGGCAACAGAGCAAAGTAAAAAAACAGCCTATTTCACCTGTGTCCAATCCCAGGGCCTTGAGAATAAATGAATTTGGACCAGAATGAGGAGGCGGATTAGATTGATTTCATGCCGACCGTGTTTGTGTAGGTGTTCAGCATATATGTGTGTTTATTAAATATGGCTGTCTCATTTTTCTGTGCTCGCTCATACATCATGAAGGAATTTTCTCTCAGACAACACTGAGTAGTAACAAATCAACACTCACTTGACCCCTGCGGAGAAGCTGACGACGGGGAAGAAGAGCCCGTCTGGGTTGAAGTTTTCAAACATGCCCTGGACCGGCTGTCCGTTAATCCTGAAAGAGATGCTTGGAGCTCCAAGGTCCAGACAACAGCTCACCACATCCTCGGAAGTCAGGACGTGCTGGTTCATGGATGCAACAGACCGTGGGACACGACCTAAGCCAGAAAAAACACACACATACAGCTCTGTGAAATATGAGCCTGTGAGTGAGGAGATAATTTCTCTAACACATAGGACTGAAAACACAAATTTGTACACACAAACACACACATTCTGGGCAAGGAGCTAGTGCCTGCTGGGTGCTGATTCTGTCTAGACACAACCTGGCTATAGCCCAGGGTTACCACTTATCTTTATTACATTAGTTTAATATGAAATGAGCCGGGTAACACACACAAACACTGATTTTTTTTTTCTCCTCAAACTGACCTGACCAGAGGTGTAGCCCATCAAAACCAAACGAGTAGAGGTCATCTCCCACTCCGTTGCCCCCCCACCCTTCTCCTCCTCCAGGGTAGGGAGCATAGCCTTTAGTGTTGGCCCAGCCCACTCTCAGGTGTGTCGGCTCGCTGGTTACAAAGTGGTCCACCTGGTCGATCATAAGCTCAAAGTACCACTTCTTATACTGAGCCGAGCCCTCGCTCACCCCCAGGAAGATGTTGGGTCTCATACTAACAACGAAGTAGGACATGAAATCATTAGTTATCATTCATGTGAAGATGTCAGGTTGTGATTTGTTTATTCTCTGCCCTTAGGACATGCAGACCTATGTACCATGCACACTTTTCTACAGAGGAGCTGATGGCACTCTGAGGAACGTTACTGCTACAGTAGCTGCTTTTAAGTTACAACCAAGACTAGTTTTTAGAAAAGATTTACAAATAACTACATTAAATTATTATCAAAATCAATAATTACTATGAATTTACTAATAAGCTAACAGCTAACTAGCTGACATAGCTAATGTTAGCTAGCATAGTACTTAAGCTCCTGTGAGGAACCTATGGGCTTGGTCAATTTTGACAACTGCTGTGGACAAAAGCAGGACGATGTTTCTCCTTGCCGAATTATTTATAATTTTCACAGAAAGAAATCATAGTTTTTTAAAAGACATCAGCATGAGTTATTTTGTCAGTAAACACGACTAACACATGTCCAGGATATGATCAGCAGAGGGATAAGCTTTACTGTTTTGTCCACAAGGATCCCTAAAATTTGACTCAACAAGTACGTTCCTCACAAGAGCATTAATGTGAAAAAAAAAAAAAACATAAAATGTCCTGAGAGTCTAATGATGAAACAAAGTGTGGCGCTCAGACGTCTTTCTGACCTCTGGACGTCGTTGACCAGCTGGGTTTGCAGCAGCAGGTCTCTCTTTGGTAGCAAGTGATCACAGATCAGGTTCTGGTTGGTTCTCACAGCTACACCGTTACACACACAGAGCGAGCAGAGCACATCCAGAATCTAAAGGAGAACGAGGAGGTGACAGCAGTGAAAATTTGAGACTACATGTAGAAAACGAGATGTGATGACAAGTCTACAACAACTGATTACACATCCACCTCATTTTCCCTATTAAACCCTGAATATGGATCCACATACCTTCCAGTAATGACTTATTATCTCTGTCTAGGTTGATGCTCGCGGGACAGACTCTTTCATGCAATCACTGCATAATTACACAAAGATGCTTATTGGGGGCAAAATATGTCCAATAAATACCCTTTGATGCTCCAAAAAGCAGCGGAATTAAATGGGCCAGGAAGCTTTGCCAAAGGTGACATTCCAGAGTAGCCGTGCTTTATGGTCGGCCCTTTTTTTTCTCCTGCTTCCATAGCAAATGATACATTCAGGCTGATTTATGACCCGGTCCAGCTGACTGCCCGCTCCTAATCTGCTTTCACTGTTAAACTGATTGATTCGTGATGGGGACAACACTGCAGCCAAACCCGCAGGAACCCCTTTTTTTTTTGTCAAAGAAGGAAGTTTGTATGCTGGTAGAAGGTAAACACGATGAATTAGGAGCTCAACAGAGGAAGTGTTGACAAAGAAGCCCAAAGGGAACTGTTATGGAAATGAATGTGCACCCAGTGAAGCATTTTGGTGAGCCTAATGAGAAGAGAGCTGGAGATGACTGCAACAGAACGAGACACTTTCAGTTGAGTTCCTTTCACTTCCAGGTTGCTGTGGGGGTGTTTCTGCTTGAATACATGTTTCTTTTGTTATTTTTTGTGCATCTCTAACACTTAGGCTATGTACGTTCATGTCTATAGTTAACTGAGAAAAGTGATACTCACATAGAGGTAGCCACTGTTTAGCTTGCGTTAGCATAAATCAAAAAAATGCTCCCAAAATAATTTGAAAAAAATCAACCTACCAATATCGCTAAAGCTCACTAAACACCATTTAATATCTGATTAGCTCAATCCTTGTAGAACCAAAGTGGATAAATGACAAATTGCCATTCAAACAGGAGCCACTTGGCCAGATGCTGTTGCCAGGCAACTAGTGGAGACTCCTGGAAGTTTTCACAAAAATTGCAGCGGGTACTTTTAGAAAGTTTTGTTACATACGGAGCCGGGCAAACAGTTTCCCTCTCTTACCATGATTTATGTCAAGCTAATTGGCTTCTGGCTCCAGCTATGGATGTAACTTATGAACATGTTAATGATATATACATTTTTATCTTCTACTCAGCAAGTCAGCAAATATGTATCAAATGTACCTTCAGAATGATGTATTTTTCAGATGAAGGAGATTCTGTATTGATCAACTGCATGAAGAAGGCTTGGGAAAGGCAAATCAATGCTGTGTTGCCTGATAGACGATGGAGGACTCCACTCTCTCATATACATGGTTGTTCAATAAATAGCAGACATCGGTTATTTCAGATGAAAGTGGTTAAGCTTTTCATTATCCTTAAGTCTTTTACATTAATGTTACCCCTCTGTGTGTCTAATTTGTCATCATTGTAAATCAAATGATATTGACATTTGGTGCATGTATTTTGGGACTGTCAGTTCTGGTCAATCCTCTTTTTCTTTTGTTTCTGGGTCTTTTCAAAGAACTGTCTCTTCTGACAGACACATGGCTCTTTTTGGATCCTGAGAGGACTCTTCACTTCTCCCTTCACACATTCAAACCGCTCTGTTGTTGGGCATAATACTCGCTAAAACGTATTCTCGAAGTCTGAAAGACAAACTCCACTGTGCTTCAGAAACTGGCTGCATGAATTGTTTGGTTTTTTTTTTTTAACACAAGGAGAAATTGAACACTCATCATTAACATGTCAAGATTATTGGGGAGAATCTTGGGGCCCCTTTTATGTAACATTAGGATTAATTTTAACAGCATTTGTTTTAGGTATTAATATAGGATTGTTTTGTTTTTTCATGTCCCACCCATGTAAGTTACTAACCACATTTGTATGAATATCCAAGTGTATAAGTGTGTACCTTTATATGATGTCATCAAAAATGTGTGAAAAAAAATGTTTTTGTTTGGTTTATGACTGTTATAATTTTGAAGTCTACGCTCATTGCACTTAATGTTTACTGCACGGTTTCTTTTCACAGATATCGTGGACTGTCCGCCCTTTGACATGTCATTTTTTCCTTGCATGTGAATTTCTTTCAAACACAAAAAGGAGCCCATATGAGTCATTATCTTATATCAAAGTACAGATAGTGCCACTCATGAGCTCAGGTATCCTGGCTGCTCACCTTGTGGTTGCGTCCATGCTTGTAGAGCAGCGATATGATTGACTTGATGTGTCCTCTCTGGATGATGTTCAGGGCCTCGGGGCTCTCAATTAAAATGCAGTGCAGAACTTCCAGGATGCCTGCACAGATTCATAAATTAGTTAACACCCATCGAAGAAAAAAATAAAAATAAAGATGCGCACACTGGGGACACTCGTCAAAGAGACATCCAGTCCTGTATAGATCAACAGAGAACACTGAGTGCTGCTGCTAGAATGGTTACCATACTGTACATTTGATACATACAATGTTAAAGCAAGCACAGTTGTCTGTTTGCATCTTTTACAGATCATAGACTGTTGAGGAAAGCCATTAAAGGACTTAGATGTCTCTTTGACGGAGAGATTGTTTTATTTGTGTATATGTGTGAGGATGATAATGAGCGCACCTGAAGAAGACTCCAGTCTCTCCAGCTTGCTAACCAGCCAGTCCAAGTTGTTAGAAAACTGGGTGCAGTTATTTCTGTTCCCTCTTATCAACGCAGCTACAGATCAGAGAACAAAATAGTGTTAATGATAATAATCTTTTTTGTTCAGAATGGTGCGATGGATCCCCTCAGGTACAAAATGTCAAATACACCTTATGTGCACACATGTAGCAAAGTGAGGAAAGAGGTTCTGCCTGGACACACTGATTCAGATTAATTCAAAAGATGCCTAAAGATTGAAGGAGGGGATGAGCAAAGACATGAACACACCCACATATGTCCTAGCGAAAAAAAAAAAGACAGGGTCAAAAAACAGCGACAAGACGGGGATGAAAGGAGGGAGGAATCCTAAATCCACTTAGCGCTGCGCCGGAGCAGGAGCAGGTGGGTGGAGGCGGGAACGAGGGAGGAGAGAGAGACGTGTGTGGAACGCTAATATAAGCCAGGAGGTGAAATCAGTGTAAATAAGAGAGTGTGAAGGAGAAACTTGGAGGGCAGAGGGGCTTCAATAGGGGGGGGGGTAGAATGAGAGATAACCTTTACATATGGAGTATGACAGGAAGAAAATCGCACAATTTTCAGCTCCCGAATGCAATCTCTTACATCACAACAAACATTTTATTCAGCAGATACAGCAGAGAGAAGAGGGCAGCAGGATTGCAGACAGAGAGGGAAAGTAAAAAAAAAAAAAAAAAATTTAAAAAAGTATACATTCTCCTTGACAGATCCTCTCAGTGAGATGTGTTCATATCTGACAGAGCATATGGTAACCGAGCGAAAGGTTAAAATGGTATTGCAAAGGGAGGACTGATGACACTGTGCTTTAGGAGCATGAAGAGCAATAAGCACAGCTCAAGTGAAAAAAACATGGAGTGATGAGAAGTGACAGTCATCTGCCTGGAAAAAAAAAAGACATTTGCCCAATAGGAAACAGCCAAAAATGTGTGTGTTTGTGTGTGAAAGGCAGGGAGGGGCTCACGTGTGTGTATTAGTGGTTGTATTAATTGTGTTTTTGTGGTGTGTTTCTGTTTACATGTAAAGCTGTCTGAAATCTTTGAACTTTAGAATTCAGCTCTTAATGATGAGCTACTTCATGTCTCGTTAAATTTCAACCCCCATTTCATTTTCAAACAGAAAACATTCCTCTATGTTTTAGGATTACACTGTAAAAGTGTGTGTGTGTGTGTGTGTGTGTGTGTGTGTGTGTGTGTGTGTGTTCATCAACATGTGTGTCCGTGTGAGTGTGTGTTGAAACAGCGTCTTACCCAGTAGCTCGTACAGCAGGTTCAGGATGTCTTTCCAGGCCGCTCCTGCCTCTGATCCGGCACACTCGCCAAAGTGTGCAGCACTGTTGTAGACGTTCAGGCGGTCGATGCAGTTGGACACCAGAATCAGCATGCCCTAAGAAATACCCGATGATACAACTCAGCAACTCAATTTAACTTCATACCGCTATATTAGCAAATTCACCTTCAAACACATCCATAACAAGCTCAAATTAGTTTGACAACTTAATCTGGTAAACTCTTTCCAAAGACTTCAGTAAGGAGACAGCCCTGAACACGGCCCTGTGGTGCTTGTGTCATGGTGATGTATTCTATGGAGGAATATCTATGGTGAACTGATATGCTAAATAGAGAGCGTTAAGAGACAAAACAGAAATTGCTGATGATTTATAATGCCGGGAAAACGCCTGAGTCAGCTGCCTGTAGTGACAAATTGACCTTCTGCATGAAATATAATAGAGGCGGGACAGATATGGGCTATTTGGGTATAATAACACAGAAATCCAGGTTAATAAAATGAAAGATGGAAAGATGAAGAATGCATATTTGCACCACCAGATACACACTTGTTTTTGCTTGAGTTCATTTACACTCATGTAGGTTGGCTTGTATGACCGTGCACATTGTTGCAGCCTGTTGCAGGAAAGAGGAATTCTAATAGTTGACATCAAAGGCTCACTCAGTGAGGCAAGTGACATTTTGTAATTGATGAAAGCAATTTTAGGTCCCAGAGGCTTCGCAGAAAGCTTCAGTGCACTGGTGCCAGCCTCGGGGAAACTTATAACACCAAAACTGCTGACGCCTCAAAAGGCAATGCCTCCAAACACAAGATGGCATTGAAACACACCACAAAGAATCAATTCCTTTAGCCTTTATACTTTGTCTTCTGCAATTTTTTTTTCCACAGCTCTCTGCTCTCTCATACGTGAAGTCACTTACTAAAATTGCCCCCAATCACAAGTCGAAACTTTACTCGGATTGAGTGTTGGGTTGGGGTGGTGTTATGCAGCGCTGGCAGAGCAGCTCTTATTAAAATGCTTAATTTGCCTCCGTCTTTGGTGAAACTCACTTCTTGTTTGAAAAGGTTCTGTCGATTCTTGAGGGAGCGCAGCTTGATCTGCCTCTCTTCGTGCTCCAGCTCAGCATCGGGGAGCTGGAAATACGCGATGAGGTCATTGAGGGTTTGGAGCACCTCCTCGACAGGCAGCGCAACCAGTGCTCTATTCTTAACTCCCAAACAATCCAGGTCTCTGTGGGGGGGGGGGGGGAGAGAGAGCACAGTTAATACCAAAAAAAAAAAGAAAATCCTCATTCAGAAAGAAAGCAGTCCTGGTTCATTTTGTGACGCTCTGGTTCATTTTAGTTTCAAATGACTCCCATTCATCACAAACGCAACAACCACCTGGTGAAGATTCTCTAATAGGGCAGCTGAGCAGCCTTAAGGAGAGGCTGTGATGACTAACATAATGTTTAGCCCACAGGTTCATCCATGCTGAAGTGCCGATTTCCGCTGGAGTGCTAAAAATAGCTCCTGTCGTAAGCATGGGAGGGATGCGGGGGGGAGATGTGGGTTGTCACAGCCGCAGGGGAGGCAGACAGATACTCACATGTTCCCAGTGTGGTTGGCCCAGAGCCCGACCCAGAGGGACAGCAAGCCGCTTGATAATAAATAAGGGTAGTGGATGCATCCACCTACCTTTTTTTTTTTTTTTTTTTTTTTAAACCTGGCCTTGCGTAGCCATGAGAGCGCAATGTTTGCTGTTTTGGAAACGCATGAGTGGATCACTGAGTGAGCTGTCTGGGGCTTTGGCACCCCATTCAGTCAAAACTCACAGCCCGGAAGCTGAACTCTCTACTGAGTACGCTCTCAATCCGGAGGGACGTTACATCACGATTGTGTGAACCATGTGACAGTCCACAAGGCTTTAAAATGTTCAGCTTCATCTCTAATTTGTTGATATGGTGCATTTAGGGACTCTTTTGTTTTATCATTGCTATTAATTATGCTCTAAAAACATCATTGTAGCTCTTACATAACTCTTGGATTGCCCTTTAAAAGTGCTCAAGACAAACACGGACGCTAATTCCGTTTAATTGGGCTATTTGAGCGATCATGTCATTTATTTTTGCCTCCTTATCGAGGAATGGCGGTATTAGTGCTGATATATTTTTTGCAAACCTGATGAAGCTGTTAAAGAGTAATGTGGTGTTGCGGATGATTCGTGCGGCGCGGGATTCCTCGTGTTGACAGCGCTGCAGGGTCAAGCCGTCATCCATGTGACCTTCAGAGTGCAGGCACGCCTTGAGAGGACAGGAAGGGAAAGACAGTGAGACATAAACTTTGGGTGTTCTTTTTAAAAGAGAGGAAAACGGAGAAGAAGAAAAAAAGAAAGAAGAAGCAACGTTTCATGGAGAGATCATAAGTGCAGTGGTCGACAGAGGGGCAAGAAGAGAAAGAGGCTACAAATTCAGATACCATGTAAATTTGGAAACACAGGCAAAAGTCTAAAAACAGATAAAATGATGGAAATACCATGTAAATGAATAAACGTGATGCAAAAGCCAAGACAACGCGCTGCAAATGCTACAAATGGCTGTGTGTGTTTTTAGACATGTAATTTTCTGCACGATTGCTGTTAATGCATTTGTTTCAGCTTTGCGTGACGTTCATTCATTCATAGTGTTTCTGTCATTGTATTAGTATTTGACTTTTTTTTTTTTTTTTTTTTTAAGATTTATTTTTGGGCTTTTTCTGCCTTTAATTGAGAGATAGGACAGTGGATAGAGTGAGAAATCATGGAGAGAGAGAGAGTGGGGAATGACATGCGGGAAAGGAGGGGAAACTTGTTTTGCAGCCAGGTGAAAATAAGGAACAATGTCTGGAACACTGGTGCTCACTCTACAGGCTATCTGGCTGTGTTAACATGCAGGACACATCTCCACACTCACACACACACGTCTATCACGTCAGTAGCCCAGGGACTAGGTTTATATTTAGTGGAGAAAGAGATACAAACTAATAGACAATCATCTTAACGCAATCAACTCAGTACCCTCAAAGTAATTAACTGCTCCGAGGAATATCTGTCATTTATTACATTTACCTGTTTCTCTATATGGTGTCGTCTGAAGATAAAACTGTGTGTGTGTGTGTGTGCGCTTGTGTTTGTCTGCACTCACTCGTCTCTTGAGGGGACCCAGACGGGCAGATTTGACATCGGGTGCCTGGTAGGAGAGCCACAGCCCCGTGGCCACGTGCATGATAAAGCAGAGCGAGTCCCCGTATTTAATCTCGGCCACCCCCATGCCCTCGATGTCCCGCTTGGGGCTCTGCTCCAGCTTCTCCTGCACGGAGGAAGGAGAAAAAAATGAAGACGTCAAAGCTGTCAGCGTGACACACATCAGTATGCGCTATGAAAGCAATGAGCACATTAATGCAGACTTGTTCTTAATCAACCGCACAACCAAATGTCAGATGCTTTTCTATACATGGCTCCATCCATCACACTGAGATGATTGTATTTGTTTAGCTCTTAAGATCAGCCCTCTGCACTGATAAATGACCTCATTTATATTGAATAATAAATAGCTTTAAATCCACATTGGAAGGGTCACTAACTGGCTTACAATCACTAACCATATCTAGAAACTCTGTTATGTATAGTCAGAGTCTGAACGTTCAGCTAAATTAACCTCTATGGTGGTGTTGCTTTCACTGCGTCAATAATTCTTGTAATTTCCATTGTCCTTGAGCAAATGGTGATTTTCCAGTCCGAGGGGAGTGTGGGCGCTTCATTTGTAAAGGTTTAAAGGTGGTCCTATGTGAACGCCTTCCAGCAGTGCTTAATGACTGTGTGTGGTGTTATCCCATGTGACACAGGTCACCTTGAAGACCAGCAGGGAGCCGGGAGCGTCCATTTAGTCGCCGTCGTATCAGTGTTTGTGGCTAACCTTGGAGGCTCTGAAGCAGAAGGCTGTGGCAACGGTGTCCGACCGCTCCCTGTCCTGCAGCACCAACCCCCTGTCCTCCGTCAGGGCCAAGTAGTGACCTGTGGTCAGGTGCCGCAGCCTAAAGGGTTGCCCCCAGCGGATGTGGCTCCCGCTCCAGCTGTCAAGGTCAGATATCACACATTAGAATCGAGCAAACGTGGAGAAAAACGTTTCCTTCTATGAGGCCTGGAAGCCTTAATATCTGCTAATGACTTGATCTAAAAATTGCTGCCAGCTGTCATTTATCCTTGTGCCATGCCGTGGAACAATTAGCCGAGTACATCTCTCTAATTATGCACTTTGTTTCTGTTCAGAGGAGTCAAAAAAAAACAAACCAGGGTCAAACACGCAGAAGATGTGACAAAACATCACAATTGACACGAGTGAAATAGAAAACACTGAAAAGGCTGCGTCCCTGTGGGGCTGGGAAAAAGCCCCAAAGACAAAGAAGGAGGGAGGGAATGAGTAAAGAGACGGAGGGGCCATAGTGCATATGAAAGGAGAGGATGAATGAAGCAAAGAGGAGAAATAGAAAGCGGAAGAAATATACAAAGAAACAGGTGGATTGGAAATAATAAAAGGAAGTAAGGAACAGAAAAGACTGGAGTTGAGTGTCTGAAACACAACCCACCTGATTCGGAGTGGTTCCAGCCTCCACAAGGACCTGGCCTTGGCGCCGGCTTTACCTGTCTCATAGTTGACTATCCTGAAAAGAAAAAAAGAATGAGTGGGTGTTCTGACTGTGGGTGCTTTAAATGTCTAGCCGAGACAGATGCTGTCAAGGTCATTCATCCTGGCTGAGGAGAACAGCACCTCTTCACTCTCATCCTTCTGATATTCTCTGGGAGGGTGGTAGACTCAGACAACACACACACACACACACACACACACTCACACACAAACTGAAGCTTGGGATTTGTATTTACTCTGCCGACTACAGCGCCGCATCGTTCAAACGGAGACATGTGCGCCCTGATAACCCACAGCTACACTGTCTATCAGAGATATGGGTGACTGGGTCCAATGATAAAAGAAATCGCTCATCTTCCCCCCTGCTGACAGCTTGGAGTGTGTTTGATCTGCCTCAGACAAATTATGGACCTCTAAAAAAAAAAAATCATCCTCCATCCGTTGAATTTCAAGGACAACAGTAGGAGGAAAAGCTGGAAATAAATCCCACCCCTATGTCTGCTGTGCTCTGTTCTAAAAATAGACACCATGTGTGTACGTGTGTTTGTGCCAAGGAGGAAGACACATCTCCTGGCACATGGCTGAGTGTGAATGGACCTTGCCCGCTGTATTGACCCACTTCACTCCTGTGTGTGCCATTTTTCCACGGCAGGTCTTAGCTGTGTTGGCACCACGCTGCTACACTGGAGTTAAAAATAACACAGCAGCCATTTTGACTCCCTGGAGAGCCAAGGTGTCACATCGATCGGAGGAATTTTTTTTATGACTTCAGGTGGGAGCTAACACACAGGTCAGTTAGTTTCTCATGTGCCACACAACACCGCCTTAAGGTATGTCCTGTGATGCTGCAGCGTAGTTTGTATTTTTTGTTCGACACTCGCTGTGTTTTCGCACCTCTGCTGCTCTGCACTCTGGTCGGATCCCGGGATAGCTACTACCTCATCATGCCCGTGGAACAACCGCATCACATGACCACCCAACAGGTAGCCTATAGGAAGAGAAGGGACAGAAGATTCAGATGTTATAACTTTTCATTTTTACTTTCAATTTTGTTGCTGCTTTTGCCTCAGCTGTGCGTGAACTTCTTTTCTTGAGTAATACAGGAAAACTACAACCTAAAACCAATTCTCATTCTTTGACCACCAACTCCTGCTCTTTTGTTAATGTGTTGTTTTCTTTCTTTCTAAAAAAAATGCACCAAAGTTATGCATTCTGAGGTTTGGGGTTTTGAGCGTCTACCTTCTTCAATGTTGCTACCGGAGCAGATGGGATGGACATTCCACAGGGTTTGCATGAAGGAAGCATCCACCTGGATGTTGCCATTGGAGATCGATAAATGCTGCGGGAAAGAAGGAAAGAATGCACAGAGAATTCATTCGTTTTGTACACCCACACCAATCGCACTATAAGGGCTGCGAGACCGCTGGTAGGAAAAGGTGATTTTGATTTTAGTCGTTAGAAGTAAGCAGCTTCACGAGCTAACTTTTTTCCTTCTACTCTACCAGAATAAATTGCAATGAACATGTCAGAGAAAGCTTTGGATAAATGTTTTCTATTTGTAAACACATTTCCAGAGGATAACCAGAGAGCTAAAACAAATGTGCGTTCAATTGGAAAATCAATGCTGAATTTCTGATTAATAACAACCAAACATTCATCATTTGACATAATGTGACTTTTCAGACGGTGCAGTCGAGGTTGGAGACTGTCACTGTGATACAGAAGAAGTCAGTTTTTCACTGAGTGTTGAAGGAATCATAAAACTGACAGCTGCCTATGGAGTCTGGGGGATTTATACCGTCTGGAGGGGCGCTGATGTGTGTATGTGTGTGGCTATGTTTCACACAGCTTCTGTGTGTCAGACTCTGAAAAACAGCCTTTAGGTGCTGTCCCCAGATACCACTGTGTTGGTGACTGTGGTGGTCACTGTGAGGGGACAGCGGTCATCTGGCTGTGGCCATTCATCCAGGGGTTGGGGGATTGAGGGGGGGGGTTTAAAGACCACCTGGCTGCTGTCACATAACTTCATGGATCACTGCGGAGATGTTTCTCAGGGTTAACATGGCAAAATGCTATGAGGCTGTGACAGCAACAAAATGATTATCATTGTAAGGATGTGATTTCTTGAGCAGATCGAATTTTGCATAATGTAATTGTTCGGAAGAGCATGTCACTTTTAACGCTAAGCCTCCTGCAGGAGAGAGGTCACGTAGAGAGCGCAGCATGTGGTAACCGGATTGGGATAATCTGAAATTTTGTCACATCAGGAGAAGCAGAGTTGATGCTCTCTTTACTAAGACCTCTGTATTTGCACACACACAAACACACACATTCACACACCAGCTTCAAGGATCAAATTCCAAACATTAAACTTACAAGGTATCGCTCAGAGGACAAGCTGACCAGGATGAGGTCATCACCAATCCGCACCTTCTCTCCTTCCGATCTCTGCTTCGAGGCCGGGTGGATGGTCCACCAACAGGCCTCACCTTCAAAGAACCCCAAACACACACATAAACATGCCAACTCCATGCCTTAATTCGAGCAAACTAGTGAAGTGTTCACAGCCTGACAGCGTGCGCTTACACTGCTGCGACCCACTATTTGTAGCGATAAAGAGGCAGAGGAGGCAGAAGTAAAAAACAAGTGTGGATGCACCATGGCAACAATCTTCTGCTGCATGATGGAAATTAAAGAAGCAAATAAGAAAAAGACCAAGGTTGCAGAATAACCAAACATAACTATTAAATATGCAGCACAGAGATGATCAGCGTTGATAAAAGAACCCACACTGAGTGTCTACATCACTCCACAGGGATTATTAAATGCAAAGCTGGGGGGAAAAAAAGCTGGAAATTTTGCTCATGAATAAATACAGCGGACGAAGAAAGAGATAAGAGAAGAAGTGTTTTGAGACAGCAGCGAGAGACAGAGGGAACAAAAACACAGACAGACAGGAAAAGACAGAGCCAAACGAGATGGATGAAAGCAAACTGTGTCAAAGGTTTTTTTCTGTACCTGTTGAATCCTCCTGCAGGCCGACATCAAAGGACAGCTTATCTGTCTGTGACCTCGACGTCTTCAAACAGGCCAGGTACTGTGGTCAACACACACACACACAGATGCAGAGCTGTCACACACATAGACCTCATGGAGAAAGCTTCCATCACATGCTTTCAAATTGCTGACAGTGGATTTTGTCTTTGTGGCGATTGTGTCTCTTACCATAGAGCTGAAGGAGTGCCGCAGGAGGATGGCATGTCCGTACAGTAGAGTCTTGTGCCCGCCGCTCTGCGCTGCCTGCACAGAAGGTTCACACACAGAGAAAGCACAAAAACACAACAGTTACATGTCTGCCTGATCTCCTGACAGTCCCAGCGGCCTCTTTCCAATGACTTCAATCTACAGGCGACCTCTCGCAGTCAACGTTGACCCCAGCCGCGACCTCCTCGCCGCTGATGTAACCCCAAAGCTCGAGGGAACACATCTCCTGGGGAGGGCTTTTTTGTCACCCTGTTTCCTGGATGAAGACATGCAATCTGACTCGCTACAGGAGATGGTGATTCTGGCTTCTGTATCCATAAGCGACAAGGATACGAGCTCATCTTTCCAGCACTCCTACTGGAGGAATGTGGGAAGGATGCACAACTACTGTCAGTCTCCAATGCAAATGTTGGCACATTAGCGGGAAATGACTCCACTGCTTATGTGGCTTTAGGGGTTAAGATGCAGAAGGGGAACAGATCTCTACAGGTACTGTAGAGATGCAAGGGGTATAAAAGGTTTTTGTGGTTTTTTTCTATGGCAAGCAACCCCAATGTTACTCACCTTTCTTATGAGCCTCTAGGAAGCATTAAGGTAAGAAAAAGGGTAATTATTCGGAAAGAATCATTGTTTTCCATAGCCTTTTCTGCTTTCCTTTGCCTTCTTTTAATGGATCTATATGATGTCCATCAAAAACATTATTACTCAAACAACGCTAGCAAATACAAAAATGACCATTACACGGATACTTCAAACTGCAGGACATTAACGTTCTGTAGCTACATCTTTGTTGAGACTGGAGGTCTCTGCCTATAAGAGACATACATGAATCATGGCAGTGTTTCATGAAAACATCCTACCATGCAAAGCCCTCTCTTTCGTTCCTTTTTACTGGCTCCTCCTCCTCCTGGCTCCCCAACCCCCCACCCCTCCATGAGCTACTGGGACGATTGCTGGCCTGTGATTTGATGCAGTTGTGTCGTGCAGACTGCAGCACTGGCTTCTGGGCTTCTTCTGTGCTCCTGGCTACTGCTATATGCTGGCTGAGGTACTGAGCTTAATGCAGCGAGGCACATCCAGCTGCAATCTCCACAAGCGATAAACCCAAGCCTTCCGCTCACTTCCTTATCCTGCGGCTGGGTGGTGAGTTATACAGATACAGCTGTGGTGCTAAATAGTGGCTTATATCAGCGGAAAAAAAAAAAATCTCTACTTGAAATACACCTTAAGCGATTGAAGAAAGTAAAACTGTATTACCCTCAGCTCATTGAAGCACAAAAAAAGAGACTACCGCATCAAGGAGGTATAAGAGTACTGAACTGTTTCTCCTGTCCAGCTGTTGACCACAAGTGTCAGATCATATTTAATGACATTTAGCTGGATGCAGCCGCCTGGTGTGTGTGTGCCCTGCAGCAGATTACATGTGTGAGCCACTGCAAGATAACACTAAGGACATATAAAAAGAGGCGGCGGAACGTATGAAAACAAACAAAAGCATGCCCGACGTCATCAGATCGGCTCGCTCTTTTTGACTGACTTATCTCATTACTTGCCGTTCTGACCGGTGACCCACACAGTCAAACAGGCCTTTAAGGTGTTATATCAGCCAATTCTCTAGAGTTACTGCGGGTGGATGCAGAGCTAATTGTGGCGTGGCATTTACAAGCTTTTCTTTGCAGCCTCGTCGGTCCCCTCAGTGTCTCCAAGCCTTCCGCCTAAAGCAGCCCGCATCACCAATTTGCTCCAGCCACTGTCTATTGATAAGCCCATCTGTTCAAAGAAGTATTGATTTCAGAGCCTCAGCCGAGACGAATTCAACCTCCATTTCCCCTTTAATGGCGCTTCCTTTAGTGACATTTCAGTGCAGGCGAGGGATGATGAATAGCTGGACAATATCGAAAACAGATAAATGAGAGTGCAGAGAAAATACAGTGGAAATAACCCTAACCCAATTCAAGAAGGCATTTTAAACCACCCTGGGGTATTTGATGCAATTGCATAAAGTATTAAAGGTTAAAAAAGACATTCCTGGAATGAGTAACTCAAACTGAAATCTGAAAACCACCTGACAAAATAAAAGTCAAGTAAAAATATTATGAATCATCACTTTGTGCTGGAAAATGCTTCTTCATGAATGTGAAGATATTTAATTGAATGTTTTCATCATTGTCACCATGTAACATTATGTTTAGGGGTGCTGGTGGGGCAGTGCTTAACGCGCCCCCACGGAGGCTATAGTCCTCCAAGGGGGGCGGCCCAGGTTCAAATCCGATCCTATGTCTCCTTTTTCGCATGTCAGTGCCCACTCTCTCCGGCTCCACTGTCCTCAATACATCTCAATAAAGGCATAAAAAGCCCAAAAATAAATCTTAACATTAGGTCTTCTTTGTACACTGCCAGTTGCAATTTGCATTATTTTATTAACTTGCTCACTACTTTCACTTTTTCTATGCATTAAAGCCCTTAACATTTTATGTTCTATATTTCACTTCTATTTAATCATAGGTTGTGTAGTTGTGTATTTTGCCTCACTAACATTTTGGAGCAATTCTAGCCTTAAATATATGTTGGGATCATAAAGTTTTTATTTTATCTTTTTATCTTTTATATTATGAAAAGGGAGAAAAGGGTCTTCAGGGATCAGCTGTTGGAGGGGCGTGTCAATGCCTGCTTTTGATTGACAGCAGCCGGCAGGTTGAGCTCTGGCATTGGAATAAGAGACAAACTTGTGCTGAAGTGACATTTGAAAGTACGTTTTTTTAGTGTTCAGTGTGCGGGGGCTAACTAGCTAGCCTGAAAACTGTTGTTAGCAGTGCAGTCCATATTCGCACATTGTTCAACGACAGGTGATGTCCGGCAAAAAAAAAAAGACAGGGGTATCTTTTTATCTGTTTGTTTTAAAGATATGCATTATCACTGATTTAACTTCAGCGGGAATGTTAGTGTCATGCTAAGGTTTTTAAAAAGGTGCTGATGCAGGAAGAACAAGGATGTACTAGCAGTTAAAAACATCCATCTGAGCTTTAATTTAGCATTTAATGTTATGAGCACCCTCTTTCTCTGTTTCTCTGCTCAAAATTCCCTGACAGCCAGCCAGCTTTTTCCTCTCCCCACAGGCACAGTGGAACCAATGCTCTTAACTTCTGCTGCAAAAACAGTCCACTGTAGCCTCAAAACTCTCGCCCTGAAACATCATCTAATCTCTGGAGTCAAGTCAGGGAATATGAGCCTCAAGAACTCAAGATTTATGGACTTTTTTCACCGTCATTTGCCACATAACAAAAATCACTTAAGATCCTGTTTTGTCTCCCAGCAGAAATCTGGGCCTCAGCTGTTTATTAAATTCAGTTAAGGTTGGGTGAGTACAAGACGATACTGTGACAAATGAGAGCTCAACCCATGTGGGGAGTTGCTTGAAGAAAATGACACTGCAATGAACGTACATCTGAATGCCCCCAAGGACAGGGCTAATGCTAATCTGATGCTAATCCAGAATCGGTGCTGCTCTAGTTCTTTAGTAGAGGAATGTGTGAGAGCTGATGTTCACTGAGAACGTTATTGGGAAGTCTTTACAAAACCACATTTGTCTCCGCCAGCACAATAGGAGCTCAGACACAATCTTCTCACCCAGTGCACACACAAACAAAAATCCATATGATCATCAGTTACTGTATTTCAATGGATGGATTCTGAATAAATGTAAAGACAAATGTTGAGAGATGAGTGACACCGAAGAGAAGCTGAATAAACCAAATGGAGGGGAGAATAAGAGAACAAATTGTGTGTTGTGACTTATCTACTGAGTCATGCATTACGGAGGACAGAGGGGAATGATGTGAGTGGTAAACATACCAATCGATCCAGGCCGCGAGTCTATCATGCAGAAGATGGAGATTATACACAAAAAAATAGAAGATAAAGGTTGGGAGAAATTACACATCTGTATAGCAGCAATGAGAAAGAGAAGCAAACACACTTGCAAGAAGACAACAGAAACTGTAACAGAAAAAAAATGTCAGCCACATTGTATTGCTTAGACATGTGCAAATTCCCTCCAGTAGAGACTTGATTTTATTTCTACAACACTGGATATTCTTGAAAAAACAGAAATGTGCTTAGGTGATCCCTTTGCTTGAAGAGTGCAAAAATATGAGCTCACACTATATATATATGCAAAAATAAAATATGTAGCTAAAGGATGCCATTTTCTTGTTTGGTGTTAATCAAATGGGCAAAAGTGCACGCAGCACTTGAGGAAAAGCTGCAGTAATGCCGGGCATCTTCATTAATATTCATGGAAGCCTGGACCTCTCTGCAGTCTGGGTCCCCAGGCCACTGTAATGGGCCTATTTGCCCATTAATCTCTTAATAGTGACTGAACAAGTTAAGAGTATTCAACTGAGCTGACTGCATTCATTATAATTAACTGTTTAACAGCCTCTTCTTCTGAACATCTACTGGAAAGAGACAAACAGTACACGACTCAGGGATGGCGTATGAGGAGTTGAAGTATGGATTGTCAGCGTGTGTGTGTGTGTGTGTGTGTGTGTGTGTGTGTGTTTGCTAATATCACTCACCCCTTCACTGTTCTGTCCACTCTTAGCCAGCATCTCCTGCAGGGCCCGCACTGACAGAGACTGCTCCAGTACAAAGGTGCAGATACACAGGTCTGGAGGAACAAACTGCAAACACATAGAAAGCGGTTGAAAAGTTATCACAGTTCACAATTCTCACAAAAGCAATTTCACTCACTTCACATACAGTAGTTGTATTTCCTATTCATTCCTCTCACATGCCTTGTCATTTGAAAAAGTTTTCCAGTGGCTTAAAACGGATGTTTACGGCCTCTAAAAACGCAGATGTCCTCTTAAGCTAAATTACAAAGTGAAGAATACCTCAACGACAGCTCACTCCCACAGACACAGAAATACAAATCAGAAATCAGAAATACTTTATTAAGGGGGAAATTCTGTTGCTACAGTTGCTCTTAAACACAAAACAGAACAGGAGCAACTGTAAAATACTTCTGGTCATTAACAGCTGCACTCAGGTAGTTGAAAGCTTTGTTTGTCTACTATTCAGAGTTCGTATCATGGTTTTCTTAAAGCTGAAAACAGCTTCCTGTTGCCTGATGAAAGGTTGCTAATGAGAGTGGGGAGCCTCAACCAAAACTGTTCTTACCGATAGCATCAAGTAAAGAAAATGATTATGATTGGTGGAAAAACACTGGCGGCCTGCCTGCTGCTACCTCCACAAACGGACCCTACAGTCATTTGTTAAGACATTTCCCCTCCGGTTGTCATTTGGTGATGGAATGAGTTACCAAACTCCATTTAATCTGCAGAGAACCTGTCCACCTTAAAAGACCCAGCTCTCTGTGAACACCTGCACACTTAATGATACAGATAAGACTGATGATGATGATGATGATGATGATGAAGATGATGATGAAAATGATGATGATGATGATGATGCTGATGTTAGGTTGAGAGAATTTCCAGCAGGCAATAGCCATCAATGAGCTTCCAAAGCCCCCTGAAGTAAAAGATGGGTAACGTCCCTCAGGCTTTGTCCATTCATATTTACAGTCCATGTTTGTAACACATACATATAACAGAAAATAAGTCGTGTTCCCATTTTGTTCATCTGTTCTTAAAGTCTGTGGAATGATAGACTTGACCTGTCAGTGCTGATGTAAAATAACACAAGGTATCGGCGGCTACATCAACAGAACACTGTGTCCTGTATTGGTCCTCATATAGTGTGAGCTCAAAAGTTAAGACGGCTGTACTGTAAAAGCAGCAGCAGTACCCTTCTCCGTCCATAACAATTATTAAATTGTTATTATAGCCCCCTGTCCTGTCTCCCTTCAACACTGATTTTGATAAAGTACTTAAAGAACTTTTTTGCTCCATAAGCAAAACATCTACATACAGCCAAATGAAAACTGCATCCTGAATCTACAGGGATATTCTGATTAGATGCCCATAAAATCTGCTTACTGCAGCATTTCTGCCTCACATGCACTAAGTTTGTCTTAATCAAGAAACCTGATATTCATTAAAAGGTACTTAAAAAAGGGATTAAGTGCTCTCGGGTCAGCTTATGCTCAGATAAGCCAGGTCTTGGACAGAACATGAGTTGGCAAACGAAGGAGAAGCCAAATCGCATCCTGAACCAGGGCAGCATCGAGGTGATTGGCCGACAGAATGAGGAAGTCAGGGACGGAGATATTGTGGAGTGCGGCAACAAGATTAATTATGCTATACTTTTACACTCTCCCTGGCCTCCTTGTTAAGTCTCAACTACTACTAAAGTGGTTCAGTCACATATATCTAACCTCATTTGCAAACTTTACACAACCCAGTTTCAGGGTAAAGTCACAACAAATTAAGACTAAAAATACAACTCCTGTGCACAGCCATAGCAATCTGATCATTAAAATCTAAGCCATGTTGAAGTACCCAGTTCCAAAGAGAAAACAAACAGAGATGATTGGATTTAAAGAGACACATGCCAGTGTATGGTCATCCAAAGCCAGAGTTTAAAGACTGTTTGAGCAGCAGAATGAAGACACTCTCCACAAAAGGGGAAATCATTTACAAAGAATCTTAAATGAGTTGTTTGTTTCTGAGGGAAGGTTTTTATTTTTATTAGAATTGTTGCATTGATTTCACAACATTAAACATTCAACACTCCAATAAATGCACTAAAAGGATTAGTTTGGTAAATCTGTTCCCTGTGTAAAAAAATAGTTGGATGACATTTGGACAAGATGCAACTCTCATATCTGCCAGTTATCTAATATTCCAGCGGTGGAAAGTTACAAATTACATTTACTCACATTACTGTGATTGAGTAGCCTATTGTGTGCTTCTACTTTTTTAAATAGTTTTTTTTAATTTAGTGATTTTACTTTTACTTAAATGTTGAGTCAGTAGCATTGTTCAATGCAGCTTGTAAACACAACTTGTTGAGACTTATTTAAACTTGTTGAAAAGGTTTATAATATGTGACTTTTAAGAAAATGAGTCAGTGTGTCTGAATACAATGTTGAAATCATTTGTTTCACTGTTAAAGTTTGAGACTTAAACAATGAAGTCGTCATGTTAGAAAATGCCAAAGTGATCACAGCCTTCTCGTTGAATCGATGCATTATGAAATTGTCAGGACACAGTTCGAGATGTCTCTGCCCTAGTAATCCTTATCTCTGGGAATGTAAACTATAGCAAAATCATAATAAAGTAGTCTGCTGGGAGGCGATTCAGCCCCGCCCTCATCCCTCTGGGTGACTAACAGCTGACCTTTGCTCTCTCTCCAGGCATAGGTCCGCAGCATTGAGTGGAAAGTCGACGTCCATTAGAGGGAAAGACAGTGAAATGAAGGTCTAGAAGACCCGGAGGGGGTGATGAGTGTCCGGCCCTGTCAGGATGTCTTCTCACAAGGCGGAGCACGGAGACAGCTTTACGGTGGCTTGGACATGCCCTGACGTTTGCTTTATGACCAATAGGGTAATGAGGGGAAGAGCGTAGCTAGATGGTGGGAGAGGGTAGATCACATATTTGTTTCAGTCTGCAGGGAGTTGGGTTGAAAAGGGCTAAAGCTAATTCATCACAGCACGTGACCTCGTATTCTGCCATTTATTTCCAGGTTAATTGACGGGGCTGCTGTACCTGTTTACTGAATGGTTAAGGAAAGGAAGCATACAGGCTATTTTGAAAATAGCAATCGACCAGAGATGGTTTTGCAAAACAATAAATCTACATTACATCTACATTATTTTCTCCAGTGGTCTTAAAATTCAGTTGCTGACAAGCGAAATATGCCGGTTGCATTTCCCTGTCATCCGGCTTCTCATTGGCTGATTGATGCTGCCATTTAAACAGTGCACACTTTAAATCAACCTCAACCTGTCGTCTTGGATCGTTGCCCCTTCTCTAAACTAGCTCACCAAATGAAAGGAAGTATCCAGACCCAGTTCCAAGTTGCCACCTTTGGTTTTCTCACCTCCCTGTCATTGATCCCAAAGGTGGGGTGTTGCCTATTTTCTATTAAAAAAAAAAAAAAAAGGCAGGCAATTTGGACAAAGTGCCAGATAGGGTGAACATCCATCACACCTGTCAGCTGTAATTACCATCCAATATGGAGTGAAAGCTTCAACCCGCTGTGCACACAATAACCCCCCCGCAACACATTCACACTCTTTGTGAGGGCAGGAGGAGGCAGAAGAGGAGAGAGAAGTTACTACATTTCAAGGTGAAGGTTTGACATTTTTTTCTCTTCCTGCCATCTCGTATTGTCCCTTTAATCCGCTGAAAATCATCCTTGTGCATCTTAAGTGCTCACGCTGTAAAAGCCTGGTGTCCTAAGCTTGTGAGAAATTAATCTCGGACGATACTAATGGATTATTATTAAGAGGCAATCAATGTGGAAAAAGCCAATTAGGCGTGCAGTTAACAGGCTGTCTGTGTTTGGAAACAGTAATGCAAGGTAAGCAGCTGTGCATCAGGGGCCAGTGTGAGGTGAGAATTAATCAGGATTCCTAGAATTATCTCAAACAGCCAATCATCATTGAGATATTTCTGCCTTGTAGCTCGATCCCTTGTTGAGCAACATGTTTTAAAAAAAAAAAAAGCCTGAGGATTTGCTTCGTAATTTACATTATTTGTTGAACAAAAAACGTAATAAGGTGGCAGCCTGCTGATTACAAAGGCAAACAAATACATTAGACTCAACTCTTGTAATTAAAACTTTGCACTTAGTTGCACAAACCAGCAAATGTGTCAGCAAGTACAACAGTGCTGCTCAGCTGCTATAAAGCTGTAGGCAATTAAAGCCGACACTGGCGCAGTTTATGAAACAATCCATCAAACGGTCCAGGGGCATAATTTAAGGGAATTATCATCTGACTGCAGGCCCACATAGATGCGACGTGGTCCCCCGAGCTACAGAAAGGAAAGCTCATCAAGGAGAGTGCGTGGATATGAGATGCTGTTCCTGCTTTGATGGCGGGCTGAGCTGCATCTCTTTGCATCTCCGCTCGGCTTCTCTGAATTTGTTGGACCTAAACAAGGGTGAACTAAATGTGCGACTGGTTTCCATGGAGCTCTTGCCTTGGTGAACGCATCCTTTTATATGCTTCACTTTTCTGCATTGCATCTTCAAACATTTTATCATTAAGTTAAAGTCTGGATGTGCCTGTGTGTGTCTGAACAGAGTTAAACACACACTATATCAAATGAAGTAGATGATGATGAAGGAAACATCCAACACAAATTGAATGCATCCCAGTGGTAAACTGGAGGTTTTTTCAGTTCGGAGAGCAGTCCAAAGAGGAAGTCCTTGTTCCTACCTTAGCCTCAGACGTGGGCTCCAGGTTACACAGGCGGTTTCCGAGCCCCTCGGCAGCCAGGCAGAACTTGCGGTTCTCCTTCTGGATGCAAGCCACGCACTGGAGCACCACTTCATCATCCTGTCAAGACAAAGCGGATTTTAGTTTGTGTGTCTATGCATGTGAATGTGGTTTTAAGGATCAGATTTTAAGGATCAGTTCCCGAGAGAGCACCAATTCAACCTCACACATGCCTTCTGTAGTACTCTGAGCTGGGGAGGCTCTGTGACACAAGAGGTCATTCTCTTACTGTGATAGAGGAACAGGACAAAGATGAGCATGCTTTAAGATGAACAACACAGCTAACTGTGCTAGAGCCAGTGTTTGTCACTGTAGTGGTCACTTCTACTATTTATTCGGGCAAAATTCAAAATACAAGAAGGGAACTGTAGAACAAGGCCTCTGCGATTAAACAATTACGATAAATATCAAATGCAATTTTTCTCAATACAAATACAACAAATGTTTGTTAAAATTTGACAGATTTAACCTGTAATTACATCACCCAAACACTAATGTGCCTTGAATGCTCGTTGCCACCCGACACTGAAGAGAAGAAGAAATGAAAGTCATTTAACTGTCTGACTTCCCCCTTGGCAAGACATAGTTGATCACATGAAATTTTAATCAGAGGCTCAAAAAGCTGTCTTTTGTGGGGCGCTGATGGCGCAGTGGTTAATGCGCGCACCCCATGTATGGAGGCTGTCGTCTCAAGCGGGCGGCCCGGGTTCGCTTCCCACCTGTGGCTTCTTTCCCGCATGTCATGTCATATTTCTGGACAAATGTATTGAAGACATGTTGTCTACGACTCCAAGAACTCAGATTCAGGTCTCTGACAAGTCCACCATGTGAAGACGTATTAGCATTGCTTGCATCAGCATAAATGCCTACTGATGGTTATAATATTTCCTTAAAGACATAACAGCAATTTCCCCAATACGTGTTGTTCTGGGAGCGAACCGGCTGAAAACAAACATCTGATGCTGCTGTTGTGTAAATGGGATGATTGTGTTTATAGTGTTGGCCCTGTAAATGCTGAATTGGTCATAGTTACTCTCTGTGATAGCAGAGCATCGGAAATCTGCTGATATGGGCTGCTACGGAATGCAGGGGGCTCCTGCACAATGGCCAGCTGCATTATTTAATGTACGAGGGGGAATGTGCTGAGAGCAGAGTGCAGCAGTGTAGTAGTAGTAACAGTTAAGCACTCCATTACAGTGCAGCATCATGCACGAGAGAGAGAGAGAGAGAGAGAGAGAGAGAGAGAGAGAGAGAGAGAGAGAGAGAGAGAAATTAAGATGTGTAGTCTCTGTGTGTCTCTGAGTGCATATGCTGTAAGTATAAAGCTTTTAGTTACATTCCTGTGTTTAGAAGCACTGCGTGAAAGTCAATATGACAGGCCTCAGGGCGCACAAACACAGGCATGACACAGTTTCATTTTCCAGTTGTTGCTCACGTGTGCTTCAAATGTAGTCCAGGGCAAATTCAGATGCTGAGTACATTGTGATGTTGTGTTTGTGAAGATACAGGGCTGATATCACAAAAGATGTTTGTGTCATATGAAAATAATTACAATGTATAAGGAGTGTATTGACCTGAACATCATGACAGTGCCAATAAGACTTACTAAAAGATCAAATAGTTCAGGAACAGTTTCAAACCGGTTAGTTTCCCTTGGATTATTTATTCCTGTACAACTGTCAGGTAATGTTTAGGTAAGGACGTACATTGTGTTTTATTAATGCATTGCAGTGATGATTGTTTGAGGTTATATGTTGTACTCAGAATAAGGGGCAACTTGATTCAAATACAATTGTTCCCATCTTTTGTATAGCATTTTGGACAACTTCTGAGTTGTATTTAGTACTCTAGTAAAAAAGAAAAAACTCTGCCACAGTATTTGGAACTAAGCTTTAATTAAATGGATGTGCCGAAAAAATTATAATAAAACAAATATAAATGCGTCAGCGTTGGTCGATATGTTAACAGTAAATTGGAAGTGCATGATGATTAAATCCTGACAAGTCCAACCTGAAAATCTGACACACACACAATGGTCTTGATGACATGACACCCACAGGGTGTAATAATGAAAATCTCTTTGTCTCAGCCATTGTTTGAATTATGACGTCATGGGTACAGAATTCAGGATATTAATTCAGATTAAAAAGTAGACTGAATTTGATTATGTGGAAGCTGTTTGCTTTTCATAAACTGAAGTTATACTGGAGGGTGCTAGCCATCGACTGGACATACCACCTCAAATCTATGCATGCAGATTCCACCTAGAGTTCAGCAAACAAAGACCTAAAATAGAAAGATAAAAAGTACAAACCAACCAGCAAATAGCTAGCTACAACCTTAAGCAAGTTCAGGGGAAAAATATTTTTTAAAGAAACGATAAGGCAGTTGCCTGTGAGAGAATCGTCGACAGATATGACACTTCAGCTAAACTAGGCTAAGATTTAGCATAAGCAACTAGCTTGTTAGCTTTAAGCATGCACTTGTGCCCTTTTTCTTTAAGTTCTTTAAGGTTTGTTTGAATATCAGTAGCATTCATCATAAAGTCCTGTTAAAAACATACTCGTATATTTGGGACTATAACAAAAACATGCTAAACCACATGGTTAAATGTTTAAGTCGCTAACCCCTTATGTGTATTATCAACAATAAATACGCTCCATCAACAATATATCATTAATTTGGACTGTTTGAAAAGTAGGAAGTTACTAATTGAGACAGTACTGACTGCTGGAATGAATTGTACCATTCATGGGACTGTTATAGGAAAGACTTTGGATAATGCTAACAGTCTTGGATCGATCTGAAAAGGTTATTCAACTCAGATGCAGATTGAAATGAATAGCTCTTGAATCAACACTTGGCCGTGCTGGAACATGAAATCAGTCTCCCTGTTTAGTGAGCGGGCAGAGGGTTGACTTTAGGCCATATAAGGACAGTATCGATCCATATACCGCATTCATGTCTGTCTGGGTGCCAAGATGCTCACATTGACACACAGGTGGGTTGCGCACATACACACACACACACTCTCGCACGTGGTCGTGACTTTAATCAGAGAGGTTAACTCCCATGTCTCTGTCTCTGTCTACCTCTGTCTTACCTTGCCTTACCCCTGTGCTGAGGTAAGAATGTGACGTTGAATCTCGCTCTCTATTCCCCAGCTCTCTTACTCACTCATCCCCTATCGCATGTGACTGCTACAGAGGAGGAGGAGGAGGAGGAGGCACTCTCTGGTATCAATCATTCATAAAGCAAAGCACTAAGCCATGTCGGCCAGACTGGAGGGAAAGAGGAATGCTCTGCTCTATTTAGGGAGGCTCAGTTTACGAAACCTGAAGAAAACATCAGACTTTAGGGAATTCTGTGACTTTTGGCTGACTCTTTGCAAAGATGCCTAAGGCGAGATTTGAAAGGTCGAGAAAAATTTAAGTGCTGTGCAGAGAACTTTTTAGTCCTACAATTAAAAGTTTGAAAGTTAACACAGAGGAGAGCACTAATCGTTGTTTAATTTAGCAAATGTTGCTTTTAATACACGCCACCTTATCAAGACAATGCTAAAAACAGAAGTAATCTGTGCTGGCAGCGCAGTAAGGTTGCATTGGGCACGCTGTCCATGCGCTCATTCATAACATAAAAAGGTCTTGCTAACATGCTAATGTTTAATTTAATATTTAATCTTATTTTTCACATTTATCCATGCAAGTTTAGCTTGTAAGCATGATAAGAATGTTTCTCATAACCTTGTGCTTAAAACTGAGCAGCTGATGTTATTACATTTTTTCATCAAAATGGAAAATTAGATGGAACCCAAATGGCACCAGAGGAAAATTCAGGGGATCATATGTGATTGCAATTCATCCTCTGGGGAACCTGAACATGTGTTCCGCTTTTTTTTTTTAATTGCCATCTTTACAACAATTAAGACATTCTAACCTTTAACAGAATTATAGCATCAGGTAAAAAAAAAACAGTAGATAATAAAACACTTTCTGTAGACATCCTCTGAGGAATCAGAAACCCTAAACCTAACCCATCAGCTAGCGCGACTATGACATCACTGCTTTAGTTCTCTATAGATTCAAAGACACCAATAATTCATTCAACTGTTCCTAAGTATTGCGGGAAGTGAGCTGAGTCTCCAAGGGCACCTTGGGATTGAATTCCACTTCATCATAATACTCCCTCTCTCATGCTCCCTCACTGCTTTGTTCTGTGTAAATCCATGCATTTGTCATCTCCACTGTGTATTTATGTGTGTGTATACGTGCCTCTGTGTGCACAACAATAGCATGAAACTCCTGCGAGACTTGTGGGAGTAACACTGAGGCATATCAATGAGCAGGCCATACTGACGTCACAGCTTATTTTCTTGGGTCAGCCAATCAGGCTGCTCCTGATGCACAGGGGAATAATGACAGTGGTTGACATTTTTTGCATAGTGACAGGTAGGCGTACCAAAAGGTCCTCTTCTGGCTGCAGGGAGCCAATCACTGCTATGGACTACATTATAGCTCATATGAATGACATGTTTAAACAGCCAGGACTTGCCAGCACTGACCTTCAGCTTTGACCTTGTAGTATCGCAGACATGTGCTGCACTTAACCACAGACAACAGTGATTCACAATGAATCATTATTGATGATAGTAAGGAGAGATTACACAATTAAGAGTCAGGTAATGGCTTGTAATGGCTTGTGAACAAATATAAAAAGCATAATGGCCCTTGTAGATTTGCAATTAAAAGAGCACCTGCTTTCCTCTCCTCTAGTGTGAGTACGTTTCTGCATATTATTTTTCATTCTTTGCTCGCAGACAACAAAGATGAGAAGATTTAACAGAGTCTAACTTTATGATATTCTGCTGCAAGCTCACTCTTAAGTACTGGAATAAAATAGAAGCGACCTGATCCAAAAAGCTTTCAGGAGCCTGGAGTATCTAAGCCCGAGTTGAAAAGCTGTAAACAGATGTTTACAGCATTTCAGCAGGTAGTGAAGTGTAGTGCAGTGCAGTGGGTACCGTCCCCTCGTGGAAAAGAGACTCCTCCACCTTATCGCTC